AGGAGGACAATGGGGCAGTTATCGACACTTGCCATTGGATCAACAGAGCAATGTTTCTCATCTGTATACGGAGCATGCCTATGTGAACACATTGACAAATGGAGATCTCAGTAGCTTGACATGGATCAAAAGCCCATTATGTTACTACCGTCCTGAAAATTTTCCAAATACGATTCTTTGCAATGTATACTATGCTTCATTGAATTTCAAGTAAGTTTCAATAAGTACTGATCAAATTTAGATAATAAATATAAGATATAAATAAATGTGAATAATAGGGATATCATGTTGGCGAGTGGCAAATTATCGCCGGATGCTGTGCCAAGAAATTTAGCTATAGAAGAATGTACGTTAGGACTTGAATTTTCCGGAAGAGACACTGACGGTCGTCGTGTGATGGGCATAGTTGAAACTCTGGGTTTGGCAACCACAGTAGCCGCGGATCTTGATTTTCTTTGGGAGGTACCAGACCAGTGGACGTTGGAACAGGCAGCAACGATACCTGTCGCTTACGCAACTAGTTACTATGCTCTGTTTATAAGGGGTCGATTGAAAGCGGGTGAAAGCGTGTTAATTCACGCTGGTACAGGCGGCGTTGGTCAAGCAGCAATCGCGATTGCTCTACACGCTGGTTGTACCGTCTTTACTACCGTTGGCACGCTGGAAAAGAGACAATATCTCAAGAAAATCTTCCCGCAATTGAACGACGGACACATCGGCAATTCCCGAGATACGAGTTTTGAAAAGCTAATACATGTCGAGACTCAAGGACGTGGAGTCGATGTTGTGCTAAATTCATTGGCAGAGGAGAAATTACAAGCTGGCATTCGGTGCCTAGCGTTCGGTGGCCGCTTCCTTGAGATCGGTAAATATGATTCGTCCAATGACAGCCGCGTAGGAATGTCAATGTTTTTGAAAAATACTTCTTTCCACGGTATACTGTTGGATGCGCTGTTCAGAGAAAACAATACGGAGAAAAGGGAATTGACAAAACTAGTTTCGGAGGGAATTAAGAATGGCGCGATACGTCCGATCCAATCGACCGTATTTTCGGAGCACCAGCTCGAGCAGAGTTTCAGATTCATGGAGGCGGGTAAGCACATCGGCAAAGTGCTGCTAAAGATCCGTGATGAAGAACCAAAGAAGCGTGTATCACCAACGCGGAAGACAGTAGCCGCGATCTCACGTACTTACATAAATCCGGAGAAATCGTACATCTTGGTGGGCGGTCTCGGTGGATTCGGTTTAGAACTGACCGATTGGATGATCGCCCGCGGTGCCAAAGTCATCGTTCTCGTATCGCGTTCAGGCATTCGCACCGGTTACCAGGCATTGTGCGTTCGTAGGTGGAGCGAAAGCGGCGTGAAAATCGTAGTCTCTACGACGGATGTTACGACATTGTCTGATGCTGAACGTTTAATTCAAGAAAGCAACCGACTGGCTCCGGTAGGCGGTATATTCAATCTGGCAGCTGTATACCGTGATGCTTTGATCGAAGATCTGAAAGAGGTCGATTTTAAAGACGTCATTTTGCCAAAAGTCGATGTTACAAGGAGTTTTGATACAGTATCCAGACAGCTTTGTCGATTGCTAGATTACTTTGTGGTGTTTTCGTGTGCATCATGCAGTTACGGCAATATTGGTCAAAGCAACTACGGCTTCGCAAATTCAGCTATGGAGAGACTAATGGAACAGAGGCAGGCTGATGGTTTACCTGGTCTCGCCATTGAATGGGGTGCCATCGGAGATGTTGGCATGTTCATAGGTAATACATGAAATTTTCTTAGAAGACCACAATCAATAGATCCAAACTTGTTCTAACTTACTCGTTCTTTGAGCTTTGTAAACTCAATTTTGACTAATGTTTAAGTTTGTACCCTTCTAAACACAATTATAATTAAGACAATATTATTGAAGTATTTTAAATTATACGTCTACAAAGTTGGCAAAACGTTCTAGATCTACTGTACGAATACTTTGTACATTTCTTAAATTACATTTTCCCTTACAATTTTGTTATTCCTTCAGAAATGATGGGTGATAACGACACCAAGTTAAACGGTACTCTACCACAACGCATGTCGAGTTGTCTCGCGACGATGGATATATTCCTTCAACAACCGCACCCTGTGCTAACTTCCTTAGTGTTAGCTAAAAAACATAAATCCGATTACGGCATCAAGACTGACCTCATCGTAGCTATTGCTAATATTCTAGGCATTAAAGATATTAATTCAATTAACCCCAACAGTACTTTAGTTCAATTGGGTATGGACTCGTTGATGAGTACAGAGATCAAACAGACACTTGAAAGGAACTATGACATCCTGCTATCTGCCCAAGATATTCGTGTCTTAACCTTCACCAAACTGCAAGAATAATCTTCGACTAGTAGTGAGATAATGAAAGAGTAGCAACCTTTCTCCGTGGACGCGGCCACTACTATAGACTCTAAGGTATCGCTCAACATGTTACTGATGGAGTGGCCGAGCAACGAGGTGCTGCCTAAAAAAAAGCTCGTTTGTTTAAAAACAAAGAATTCCGATGGACCGCCGTTATACTACTTGTATAAATTTTTAATAGTATATATGATAACATTGGATTCTATTAAAATTTTAGTAAATTCTATTAAATCCTATTAAAGACTATTAATATTTAAAAAGACGTACACTTTACCTGTTATTATTTTTCAGATTTATACACAACCCGTAAAAATAGAAAAATTTTCGGGAGCATAGGACGATATTGCTAGGAGGAAGTTCAAGGAAAATTGCAGGTCTCTTGCAAGTGTAATTGCGGAAGAACATGTGTGTTACAGGTGTTATTATATTTCAAAATGGTTACGTAGCACGTATGTAGTAATATTACAAACGTGACAGATTATAATATCGTTGCAATGTACACTCAGAAAGTCAATGAGTGGAGTATCATTGAAAACAGTGAATATTCACTGATTCACAGTTATGCATAAATAGCACTGAATACTTTAGTGCTATACGTATAACTGTCTTCAGTGATAATTCACTGATTGACTTTTAGAGAGTACCTGAAATATTCTATGCTTGACGTGATTAGTAATTGGCACGATTCTTTTGTATATATGTTATTATACCTACTTCAATATTGTAAGTCAAAATTGTGTTTGTAAGCTGTTGTATCATATACATAATAAAAAATAGCTTAGGATAAAATTAAAATATAACTTCTTGGGATGGTATAATTGTACATTATCAGTTATCTTAATAAAAATATATAACTTTTTGTACTTTTAAGGATTTGTCTTAGAAAAAATACAATACGTATACAATACGTATACTTTTCACAAACTTTAAAGAAGTAAATTGGAAAGAAATTATTTCAGAATTTATATACCTGCGCATCAACTGATCTCTTTCAATCTCATCGTCGCGTATATCTACGCACTTTTCTACTACAGTACAATTAATTACTACAGTATAATTAATTTTGCCATAGCTATACCGAAGATAGTTTAAATTTAAAACCATTTCGAGATGTGATACAAAAATATTCTTTTAATTAACATACATCGACTAATCTCTTTCGCGAGGTCGTATCTCGATTTAACACAACTTCCACTATCGACGGAATACGGTGTTCCATTTCCAATCGTGTGCTCCACCGTCGTGTTGACGGTTTCAGATTGAGCAGACATCTTACCTAAGAAGATCTATATCGAAATTTTTTCGCTCCTTATGAATCTTTATTTGTAAAGATAGAACCAATTCGAGTTTTTATGTTTGTCGACACATCTAGTAGTGATCTACACAAGCAGAAGGCACATGTGATAGCATATTTAAACAATTATGATAGATCTTTCTCAACATCTTTTGCAGTTTATTAAAGAAAGACAAGCTTTATATAGCTTTAAAGAAAAATATTTTTCTTACTTGAGAAAGGAAATATTTTTCAAAATTATCGATTCCTTATGATTTTAATTGTTTTCTCTCAGGTTTCAAAAAAGAGACGACAGATGTACATATCAAAAGAAAGCTCTTTTAAAGTAGATAATTATTATTGATTAAAAAATGTATGTATACGCGGTGTAATTTTAAAGAGATTGTAGATCAAGTTTCTTAACTCACAATAAGCCAGCAATAAGCAATTATTGAATGAGTGCACAATCGATACTTTCTGTTGTTCGAGTGCAAATGTGGTGCAGGCAATACAGAAGAATTATAATTTAAAATTGTCGAATGTATGCTTTTCGCGCGAGATACTGTGGGCCTAACCCAGTGAGAAGTAATAGTTGAAAAGATGTCGAATCGATATTGAAACAATGTCAAACGTTTTTTGAAATCGCATTGTCATTTTCTCGTGTGGTGTTTAGTATTATATCGCTTTTATTACTTCTATGAAAGCATATAAGTCAAATCGAAACTATCTCGAAGAGAGTACCAAAACATTCAGTCAGATATTTACGAAAATGTGTCTTAAATGTGCCGTTTCGAACTCTCCCAATAAGCACAGTTATCGCCCACATAGTACAGAAGTTTTCAGTTATATTTTAGGAACGTTGCAACAATGCAGAAACATTTACGAAAACATTCAGTTATAATATTTCCCCGAAATAATTCAGCAACGTTGCAGAAATATTATAAAAATTATGGACATAACGGCCGGTATTCATAGTTAGATCTTTTATACTTAAGACCTTCTTATGTTTTTAAATTTATCTTTAGATGCTTGAACATTTCACTGGCTATGTAGCAGCTATAAAATATGGTCTGACGATTAAATAACACGGTAACTCTATCGAATATTCACAAAAATGGCAACTTCACAATTTGGAAATACTTTACGTGATTGATCAGTTTCCACAGTATGTTTTATATTACGGTTACAGCAATTTGTGTTCGAAAGCGTCTCTCTGTATATGGGCGAACGGTGTTGTGTAAGTTTGAACGTTTGCGATGTGTATGTATATATTATTTAGTCATCTTAATTTCATTAATAATTGTGATAAGGACTGCAGGCATATCTTGTTTTAACGTGTTTCGCTTTATTATTTTTCACAGATATTGCATACATATAGCAATTTTTGTAACAACATACTTATCTCGTGTCTCTACGTCATTTTTTTACAATAAAATATTTTTTTATTAAGATACGTACATTAAAACTGCCTGGAAAAATGATTTTATTGCACACTTAAATGACTATAGTAAACTCACACTTCAAATCATTGTGCTTCGTATGTGTGTTTTAGTATACGTTTCGCAAATATTGCGCAGATATCGGCGCCAGTTTTCCAACAGCACGTGCTTATTTCATGTTTCTGTGTCACATTATTTTAACCATAATCTTTTTTAATTAATTAATATCTGTCAAAAACTATTAAATATGTATTATATATTTTTTACATATTTGATATTTTGTTTCTTCTATGTTTATTTTTTGAATTAATTTTTTCATTCTCCGTCATAAACTTACTCGTGTTTAATTGTAATTGATTTATTATGCACTAGTAGTGCGCTAGTATTGTCAAATTGTCTGTTAACATTTTTTGTCATTTTCTATTGCAGAATTTGTAGTGGACAGTTACCAACAGAAAAATGCGTGAAAAATTGATTAAAAGGGAATATTAGAATGTACCATAGTTTGAATATTAAATGTGCAGTGCGAAACAAGAAGACTTCCGTGATTATATACAGTGTGAGTCTTATTTCTTCTCTCAGCATTTTGCTATGAGAGATGGATTGCCGACTGCAACTGTAGTTAACCCAGGAAAAAATGGAAAAATCTCGTAATCTATGTAAGTTTCTCAATATAAGTTTCTCAATAGGTAATAGAACTTGTAACACGAGTGTTCTTCTGCAAACTACACTCGCAAGAGACTTGCGATTTTCCTTGCACTTTCTCCTAGCAATATCGTCCTATGATTACCGGGTACCTCTTTTATTCTTACGGGTTGTATACAAATCTGAAAAATAATAACAGGTAGTTTTTTAATATTAATAATTTCTGATAGAATTTAACAGGATTTAATAGAATTTTAATAAAATTTAATTATATTATAAAATTTAATTATATTATATTATTATATTATATTATTATGTAAACTATTAAAAGTTATACGAGTAATAGGAAATTCAAATAGAATTAGTTTGAAACAAAACTTATGTCTACTGAATAGACAAATAAAATTAAAATTTTTAATCGAGATCTATTCGATTAATTCTTAGACTGCACTCACCCCTTGACAGAAAGGCAGAAAGCAAGAAAACAGAAATCCAATCAAAACTCATACTAATAGTATGACAGTTGTCGACGGTTTCTACTTTCTGCCAGCAGAATGTGCTGTTTACTATTACTGTGCTGTTTACTATCTTACTATGTGCTGTTTACTATCTGATTGGCTCCTGCTTTTTCGCTTTCTGCTTCTCCGTCCAGATGTGAATCTAGCCTTATTTTTAGATCCGCATATGCGCAACTAACGTAGATATTATATATATCGTACATATAACAATATTTAAAAATTTTTCAATTCTAATAATTTCCCATTCTAGCTATTATCTTACAAGATATTCAACATATTTGATAAAATTGTATGATATTAAAGCACTAAAGTGATCGTTAACTTCAATTAATTCGTAACTTAATACAACAAATTACAAAAAGAAACACAACATTGGGATTATTGAAGAAGTAATAAATTAGAGGTAACAAAGAAGACAAATCTCTCACATGTGATAAATCGTAATCCTCTTCTAAATGTAAAATGTTCTCTGTAGCTTTAATCAATGTGACCGGTCCTTTGATCTTCTTAGTCGGGTTATACATTACAGTAGCCGCTAGTTTCTTTAATAAAAGGTATCCAGCAATCTTTAGATCATCCTGTGTAAACAGTGTGTCGCCTATCACTTCTATCATCTTGTCAAACATCTCCACATCCGATTTACTTTGCTTCAAAATATTATACGCCTGAAATAAAACACTGCAGATTGTAAAACAGTTACATTGCATCTTATACGTATACGAAGATAACGAATGCAAAAAATAAACGATATCTTATAAACACATAAAAGTAACAATTTAAATATACGACTAGTAATAGATAAACATTTTATAAACATTGTTTTGAAATTATACGTCAGATATTCTGCTAAGGTTTTTAAGATATTGTATTTAAAACGATCTTAGTATGTATAAGAAACTATAATAATTCCGGCCTTGGAATATCGTCCGGTTGTTCTCGCATTATGCTTGCTGATTACTAAAAAGTGATCTACGTATATTCTCCTAAGTTACTAACACCTAAGTAAGATTTTTTAAAGTGCTTTTTTGATGTTAGATGAATACCATGAACTAATTTATCGCCAAATTACTTATAAATGAAATACGTTAATTATGTACTTATGTAAACAATTATCACCTTTTTATGTTATGATAATCACATATTTGTTTGCACTTTAAAAAGGTACCGTATGTGTATTGAATGTATCATTATTCGTGCTTTCCCTTAACTCCGTACTTCAAGGCAGATGCAGATAGATAAAATGAATGAGTCCGTGATACTTACTTGAATGAAACTAATGTTCTTGTTAAACTGTATGCTGAAATATGCCAGCACCTTTATACAACCTTCGGAAGTAATACCATTTTCCAACTCCAGTTTGCCGATTATATTACAATGCTGTCGCACGAATGTCAGCGATCCATCGATTAGACTCAGAATCACTTTCTCCCCAGCGGATTCCAATTGCAGAGTCATCTCGATGGCGACGCAACTTCCAAACGCGTATGCCGCCAAGTGGTATGGTCCTTCTTTTTGAATTTTTCTAATGGTATTGACATAGAATTCAGCCAACTCCGATATCGTGTTATGAGGCGCCTGCTCAATGCTTTGCAGACCCCATAATGGTCTCTCGAGTTCACTGGCCACATGTTCTAGCGATGCAACGAGACCTTCGATACCATGAACGATGAATAACGGCGGTCCATTAGAATTCTTTGTTTTCAAACGAACGAGCGCCTCTTTGGGCAACACCTCGTTACTCGGCCACTTTATCAGTAACATGTTGAGCGATACATTAGAGTCTACAGTGGCCGCGTCAACGGAGAAAGGTTGCTGCTCTTTTATTATCTCACTACTAGTCGAAGATAATTCTTGCAGTTTGGTGAAGGTTAAGACACGAATATCTTGGGCAGATAGCAGGATGTCATAGTTTCTTTCAAGTGTCTGTTTGATCTCTATATTCATCAGCGAGTCTATACCCAATTGAACCAAAGTACTGTTGCGATTAATCGATTTAATATCTTTAATGCCTAGAATATTGGCAATAGTTACGATGAGGTCAGCCTTGATGTCGTAATCAGCTTTCTGTTTTTCAACAGTGGAACATAGCACCGCGTATGGTTGTTGAAGGAATATATCCATCGTCGCGAGACAACTCGACATGCGTTGTGGTAGAGTACCGTTCACTTTGGTGTCGTTATCACCCATCATTTCTGAAGGAATAACAAAATTGTAAGGGAAAATGTAATTTAAGAAATGTACAAAGTATTCGTACAATATATCTAGGACAACGATTTGCAAAATTTGTAGACATATCATTTAAAATACTTTAGTATTATCGTTATAATTATAATCGTGTTTAGAAGAGTACAAACTTAAACATGAGTCAAAAGTAATATTCAAAACTCACCAAAAGGGTATGTTAGAAAAAGTTTGGATCTGTTGATTCTGAGAAAATTTCATGTATTACCTACGATTACGCCAACATCTCCGATGGCACCCCATTGAATGGCGAGCCCGGGTAAACCACTAGCTTGCCTCTGTTCCACTAGTCTCTCCATAGTCGAATTCGCGAAGCCGTAGTTGCTTTGACCAATATTGCCACGACCGCACGATATGGACGAAAACACCACAAAGTAATCTAACGATGGACAAAGCTGTCTGGATACTGTATCAAAACTCTTTGTAACATCGACTTTTGGCAAAATGACGTCTTTAAAATCGACCTCTTTCAGATCTTCGATCAAAGCATCACGGTATACAGCTGCCAGATTGAATATACCGCCTACCGGAGCCAGCCGATTACTTTCTTGAATTAAGTGTTCGGCACCCGACAATGTCGTAACATCCGTCGTAGAGACTACGATTTTCACATTGCTTTCACGCCAGCGACGCACGCACAATGCCTGGTAACCGGTGCGAATGCCCGAACGCGACACGAGAACGATGACTTTGGCACCGCGGGCGACCATCCAATCGGTCAGTTCTAATCCGAACCCACCAAGACCGCCGACCAGGATGTACGATTTCTCCGGATTTATGTAAGTACGTGAGATCGCGGCTATTGTCTTCGGTGTTGAGGATACACGCTTTTCTGGTTCCTCGTCACGGATCTTTAGTAGCACTTTGCCGATGTGCTTACCCGCCGCGATGAATCTGAAACTCTGCTCGAGCTGTTGCTCCGAAAATACGGTCGATTGGATCGGACGTATCGCGCCATTCTTGATTCCCTCCGAAACTAGTTTTGTCAATTCCCTTTTCTCCGTGTTGCTTTCTCTGAACAGCGCATCCAACAGTATGCCGTGGAAAGAGATATTCTTCAAAAACATTGACATTCCTATGCGGCTGTCCTTAGACGAATCATATTTACCGATCTCGAGGAAACGGCCATCGAACGCCAGGCATCGAATGCCAGCTTGCAATTTCTCATCTGCCAGTGAATTCAGCACAACATCGACTCCACGTCCCTGAGTCTCGTCACGTATTAGCTGTTCAAATTTCGTATCTCGGGAATTACCGATGTGTCTTTCGTTTAATTGCGGGAAGATTTTCTTGAGATATTGTCTCTTTTCCAGCGTGCCAACGGTAGTAAAGACGGTACAACCAGCGTGCAGAGCAATCGCGATTGCTGCTTGACCAACGCCGCCTGTACCAGCGTGAATTAACACGCTTTCACCCGCTTTCAATCGACCCCTTATAAACAGAGCATAGTAACTAGTTGCGTAAGCGACAGGTATCGTTGCTGCCTGTTCCAACGTCCACTGGTCTGGTACCTTCCAAAGAAAATCAAGATCCGCGGCTACTGTGGTTGCCAAACCCATAGCTTCAACTATGCCCATCACGCGACGACCATCAGTGTCTCTTCCGGAAAATTCAAGGCCCAACACACAGTCTTTAGTAGCTGAATTCCGTGGCGAAGTGTCCGTTTGTAATTTGCCACTCGCCAACATAATATCCCTATTAATATTTATTTATATGTTATTATATATTTACTATCTAAATCTGATCAGTATTAATTGAAACTTACTTGAAGTTCAATGAAGTATAGTATACATTGCAAAGAATCGTATTTGGAAAATTTTCAGGACGGTAGTAACATAACGGGCTTTTGAACCATGTCAAGCTACTGAGATCTCCATTTGTCAATGTGTTCACATAGGCATGCTCCGTATACACACGAGACACATTGCTCTGTTGATCCAATAGCAAGTGTCGATAACTGCCCCATTGTCCACCTTTCAGAACGTTTGCCATCAAACCTTTGTCCAATTGCTCCAAGTAAAACGGCACAGATAAGCCAAACTTGGGGGCGTTTTTGTCCTGGATGAAGACATAACGTGCATTGGCGCCGCCTAACTCGCGTCGTATGCAAGTCATAAGACCGACCAAGCCTATGAATACAAAACGACAAGATATTTATTCTGTTTCCAATATAGGGCGATTAAAAAGACAATGTGAAAGTTTGAGATGACTTTTTTTGTAATTTTACCAAGCGTTTCTTCGCCCTGGGATAAAAGGAGCACTTCTTGATCTTTGCTATCAGATTCCTTCAGTGCAGCTTTTAAACTTTCCAGCCACGATAGATTTTTCTCTGTAATTTGAGTTATTATCGGTTCTCTCTTTTTCTGTCGCTTCTTTAACAATACGTAAGTCTTTACAGAATCGGTTTGTTTTCCAGCCAATGTTAGATCATTGTCCTGCAACGCGGTCCCGAAATCTAATTGTGCAGCGGTCTCTTCCAGAAGAATGAAACAACCAGGTTTTAAGGCAGCCACCAAGTTTTTGAGGACGGTATAAGATTGATTAGATAGAACGTCCGCCGCTATGACCAGGTGCACATCTTGAGCGGGAGGCTCCTTATTCACGTCTCGCGTTATGATGTTAGCGTTCACGTACAGTTGAGTCAAACTTGAGATAGAGTTATTGGCAGAAATTGCAATATGTAAATTAATCTGAAGAAAATAAAACAATTTGTAATTTGAAATATTCTTGATCTTGAAAAGTAATAATTACAATTAGACTAATTTATGAATGTTGGTCAAGATCGCGAAGTATTCCTTATTTTACTTGGAAGAGTTTACATTTTAAAATTAAAGAAGAAATAAATAAAGAGAAATTTAATAAGCCATATATTTTGTTTCAAATGGCATTAGCATAACGATGGCACCGACTTCTCTTTCCTTATTATTGATTTATAAATCTTGTACCAAATGTTAAACATTGTGACAATTTAGTTTATTAAAATGAAGCGTTGGAGAGATTGCACAGTGCTGTAGCAGTTTGTCGAACAACAGGGTTTGAGTTTTGGATTTCTTGTTACGCTATACTTACAGCACTAAAAATTTCGAATAGAAAGTTATTCTACCTTGAGCGTATAAACAGTTTATTAAAATTCTTCGATATACTTACGATAGGTGAGTTTAATTGGTCATAAAGAATGTCGAAAATAAGCGGCGCCGAAAGAGCTTCCGCAGTTCGATCTCCTACAACTTCCACAATTTTTAATTTCATTGACATTATGTTTTCACACATGATGTGCACAAGTACAGTGATCGCATGCAGTCTTTCTTTCGTTCCATCGTCTGCTAGACTGTACAAATTTTCATAAGGCACGAAAGTGTACCGTTCGTATTTAGTACGATCCTGCTGTTTTCGAGGTGCCAATGTATATTTCATCATTCCCCTAATCTCGATACCGCCAGATTTAACGATATCGATGTTCTTGTATTGATACACCGGCAATCCTTCATCTTCTGGTAAATCTTGCACCAGTTGTTTATGAAGAACAGGGTCGATGGCGACGTACTGGAGATACGACGGTGTATACATAAGTCTGTGGCTGCTGGACAGTATATTTAAATGAAGCATGCTGTCTACGTATGGATCCCAGTGATTAAACCAGTAAAGTTCGCCGGCAACGGCGTAGTTATCGCAAGATTTGATTCCTTGGAAGATATCACGATACTCGTATCCGCGCAACCTTAGTTCCTTGTAAATGTCTTTGGTATTCAGCGGTAAAATCTCTTTATTAGCAGGTGAAATTGATGGTAGCGTCAACTGATCTTTCTCAATACTCTCGGATACGCGCACGTTTCCGCTGACGACAATCGTATCACCCTCGCAGATCTCAAAATCTCCCGTTCCCTTGAAGATGGTTATCGACAATTTTACTGTTCCCTTTATAGGCAGAACTGTTGCTCGCTGAAACCTCAGATTGTGGAATATTACCGGCAATCGTTCAAAATCGACATTGCGCAGTTTTGCCAAAGTTTTCCACGCCAGCAGTATATAGCTAGCTGCTGAAAAAATAACTCGTCCGTTTATCTGGTGTCCCGCCAAATACGCGTCCGTTTCTTTTGACATATCTATTTGGACAATACACTCTCTCGAGTGATCCGATGTCTGTTCCAAAACGGCCACATTCCACGTGGCTGAGTGATCCCACCTGACGAGGGACCCGATCATCGGTGTTCCGCGACCGACAGGGAAACTCACCGGTGGATAGAATTTGGAAATGTCAGGTTGCGCACCGGCTATGTACAGCTTGCCCACGTTAGACAGGAGGTAAGCTAAATTGTCCGAATGTTCTCGCTTCTGGAGGTTGATATTGGTGACAGTTGGCGGTAACGATTTGCGCAAGATTCTCTGAAACAAACAGTGCGGCCCGATTTCGATCGTTATCGCGTTCTCTGGGATATGTGTGATTGCCTCCTGGAAAAGCACGGGAGACAAAAAATTATTCGTGTGATACGCGGCAGAATTGAACTGCGCGAGCGGACTATTCCATTCCGCCTCGGGTACGGAGCTAGAGATCCATCTGGCCGACCTCCGTTTCGGGCTTGGTATGATCTTCTGAAGCGAAGCAAGTAGTTTAGGTTTGGACGAAGCGATATGTTTGGTGTGGAAGGCAAAGCCGGGAGATTTTACCATCTTGACAAAGATATCTTTACTCTTAAGTATTTGTACGAACTTGTGCATTGCATCAGTTGGACCAGCAATAGTAACAGAGTCGACGGAATTGTGACAAGCTGGATAGATGTCTGGCGGGCACAAATTTCTGACCTCCTTCCAGCTTAAACCAACTGCCGCCATAGCACCTGGCTTTAACGTGGAGTCTATAATCGCCTTGCCCCTATAGTAAGACGTTAAGATTGCCTGTTCCAGCGTAAATGTGCCGTCAGCATAAGCGCAACCCATTTCTCCAAGGGAGTGTCCGACTACGCCGTCCGGATGTATACCTATCAACGTTAAAATGTCTACGAGGGCGATCTGCATAGCCACGATAGATACAAAGGTTTCTATCACGTCCTCGTACATTTCGTCCGTGGCATTCATGATGATATTCATGAGGTCGATGCCGTGAGGTTTTAATACGTCAGCGCATCGCCGCAAGCTACATTGAAAAGTATCAATAGCTAACAATTGGTGACCCATGCCTGGCCATTGCGTTCCCATACCGGAAAATATAAACCATATTGGCCGCCTTTCATTATAACTCGGTACCTCGTCAATTTCACGCGTACCATCTACGCTAAGTATCTCGTAACCGCGAATCTTGTGGCCGTGGATATCGTTATTGTGTATGATGTGTAACAGTGAAAGAAACTCTTTGTCTTTACGATACTCTTTCGCTTTATCTAGCAAGGTATGCACAGCTTCTTCCGTTCGACCTGATACAGTGACCAATCTGGGCAACAGTTCGGCATTCAATAGAGGTGACAATTTTGGTTTCGGATTACTGCGCAGAAGGATGTGGGCATTTGCACCGCCGAAACCGAATGCGTTGACGCCTACGAGACCACCGTTCCACGATGTGGCCTCGTCGACCACTCGAATGCGTCCCTCGTTTAAGCCAGGGATGTTTGGATTCGGAGTTTTATAGTGCAAATTCGCGGGGATTACGCCCGCTTCCATCGCTATGAGCACTTTGGCGATCGAGCATAATCCACTGGCTGTTTCCGAGTGGCCCATATTGGATTTGACTGATCCAATCAGCAAAGGAGTGTTTCTATCTTTGCAGAACAGTTCGACGATGGTATTGACTTCCTTTGGATCACCTACTTTGGTACCGGTACCATGGGTCTCTACGTAACTGACGTCTGTAGGATTAACTCCCACCTCATTGTAGATCTCGCGTAACAATCGATTTTGCATTTCACCACTGGGGTACGTGATACCTTGAAATTTGTAGCCGTCACAGTTTGTTTTTGTGTGAACTACCGTGGCGTATACTCTGCGCGCATCCTTCACCTTTTGCAAATATATCGCCACTACCGCCTCGGCCCTCACGTAACCATTAGCCGAAGCGTCGAACACTTTGCACTTGCCATCCTCGGCCAGCATATTCATTCTATAATATTGAGTCGATCTCTCTGGTCTTAATACGATATTCAATCCACCGACAATCGCAGCATCGCATTCACCCATGCGCATTGAGTTGACTGCCTGATGCACGCTGTACAAGGCCGAGGAACATGCCGAGTCCACCGCGTAACTAGGTCCATTAAAGTCAAAACAGTAGGAGATTCTGTTGGCGAACATTGATTTCGAACACCCGAGTACTTCATATCCTGCAAGCAGATGCAAGTTTCTTGGTTTATTCTCATTGTCAGGAGATATCATATGCCTTCTCTTACACCATAACAGATTTTTGTGATGAATAGCAAAATGAAGACTATAATTTAGACGTAAATGGACACATCTGTACTATTTCACAGTTATTTTCTAATCTTTAGACAAGATCCTTAGATTCAGCGTGTATGTTGCCTCATGGTAAATAGAAAACATCAAACTAAGTGACTTAAGAGATATTTAGCAGTTTTTTTTTCATAATGTACACACCACTTATGGCGTCTATATTGTTCATCAAAGACGTATCTGTTTCTGATAAAGTGACACCGACGAACACCCCCGTACGCGATCCTCTCAAAGTCGAGGGATTAAATCCAGCGTCAACTATCGCCTCGTATGTGACTTCTAACATCATGCGACTCTGTGGGTCCATTACATGTGCCATTTTAGGTGATATTTCGAAAAAAGTGGCATCGAGGCTGCTGAGGTCCTTGATCTTAGCATATCTTGGTAACTCGGGGATGTCTGTTGACCAACGACGTTCGTCATCAGAGACCATGTCCATGTTGTTCATCAGATTCTCCTTAAATTCCTCAATATTGGACGACCTAGGCAGACGGCCTAAAACAGAATTTATTTTTCAAGGTATTTTGTTCTCATGATAATACGGCCATTTGCGATCGACAATTACCGGATATGCCCGTGATGACGATATCACTGTCTACGGAATACGGTGTTCCATTTCCAACCGTGTACTGCCGTGTCGCGGAACTGTCAACGGTTTCAGATTGATGAGACATCTTACCGAGAAAGGTCGATATCGAAATCTTTTTGTTCCGTATGAATCGCTAACTGCAAAGATAAAACCAATTCTAGGTTTTACATTTGTCGGAACATCTAGTTGATCTTCGCAAGGAGGAGGCACACATTTGAAAAGAGTATATTTAAATAAACGCTAGGCCTTTCTAAATATCCTTTGCAGTGCTTCTTTTTAACAACGTTTTGAGAGAACTTTGTGCTATTTCAATTGCAGACATAAACATAGGAATAATTTATAAATTATGCTTTCTTGCGTCACGTCGAATCTTCTCTGGCATCTCGTTCAACCATTTTTAAACACGCATGGTTTTCGAGCAATTCCTACGAGCGAATACTTTCAGTTGACATATTCAATTAAATAATCACAATAAAATTTCAGCATTTTTCATCAAATTAACTTTATTTAACAAATGTTTGTAGGGTCGCTTTTTTCTAAAAACTGTCATTTATCTTTCTGAAAAGGTACATGTATTATTATTGCAGTAACAATTACTCTGCATTTCATTTCTAACTAATTACTTGAAGAACATCAAAGAATATAAGAATAATTTTTGTTTCAAATATCGCACTGTCATGCTTTACAAGAGATACGTTATATGTTATTTCAACGTATTTTTAAATACATTTCCCAAAGAGTGCCGCTAAAATATTCCTTTTATATTCCAATTTTTGACAAAAATTTTTTGTTAACAAATTTATGTATACGCGTTGTAATTTTGAAGATATTGTAGCTCAAAGCTTTTATCTCGCAATAAGCCAGCATAATAAGCAATTATTGAATGAGTGCGCAATCGAAACTTTCTGTTGTTTGATTGTAAATATGCTGCAGGCAATACAAAAGAATTAAAACTGAAAATTGTCGAATGCATACTTTTCGCGCGAGATACTGTGGGCCCAGCCGAATTTGAAGTATGGTTAAAAAGATGTTGAATCGATATTGAAACGATGTCAAATGTATTAAATAGATATGATGTGTCGATTGTATGTGTTTTCAACCAATCATTAATTCTGGGATGTAGTGATACTGTCTTATGTTAGGAACACAAAGCAGAAACACGCCAGCATTGTAATTGTTTTATCAGGAAAATGTGATTTGCAGTTTGCAATATAGGACCTTGCATAGTAATGTTCTTTCGATTGTAACAAGTGTGACAGTCGAACGGTCAAAGGCTAGTCAGAATGACCGATTAAGATACAAATGATAATACTCTTCCGTTACGGGAGAGTTTGGTGAAAACTGCAGTGCAATTTCTACAAAACCCTAAAGTGTCGTCGAGTCCATTGGTGCAAAAACAAGAATTTTTTAAGAGGAAAGGTCTCATGGATGAGGAGATTAAAACAGCTTTCAAGCTGGCGTCGGTCGACAATGTAGCTGATCGCAATGCTATTCAAAGTCAGAATCCATACACCGCTGTACAAATGCCATCAGAATCCGTTTATCCATATCGTCAAATGAGTGTTTACCGACCAACGTTTTTGCACAAAGTCAAAGAGATCTTTAATGCAACCGCATTAATTGGCGTGACAGTATACTGCGCGTATTGGTTTTATAAGAGCAACCTTCGTGGCATACTTCGGTGGTTGGATATTCCGAGAAGCCATCCACATTTGCACTACACTGTCAACTGAAAACTCCATGATCAATCTTGCTTTGCAATAAGTTGATTGGCTTAAGTCATTAAATGCATTTTTCAAAATTATTAACATAATGATCGGTATTCATAGTTAGATTTTTTATATTTAATACCATCTTATTTTAAGTTTATCCTAAGATGCTTGAACATTTCACTGGCTATGTAGTATCTAGATAGGGTATAAAGGATGATCTGACAAATATAAGATCTGACTATGAATACCGCTCAATAACACTGTAACTCAATCGAATGTTCACTGTAGAAAATTGCTTGAAAACGCTTGGCTGGCAAATTCTAATTAAAGAAATTCATTGCGAAAAACATCACCCCAGCCAGGGTTTGAACCTGGACCTCTCTACACTCTAGGCGGGCGTCTCACCAATTCGACCACTGAGGCATGCGGTAATATTTATCAATCGAATATTCTCAACGATGGCAACTTCATAGTGTGAAAATACTTAACGTGATTGATCAGTTTTCACGGTATGTTTTATATTACGGTTACAGCAATTTGTGTGCGAACGCCACGTCTCTCTGTATCTGGGCAAACTGTGTTGTGTACGTTTAAACGTTTGCGATGTGTATTAATATATATGGTTTAGTTATCTTAGTTTCATTAATAGTTTTCATAATGACTGCAGGCTTATCTTGTTTTAACGTGTTTCGCTTTATTGTTTTTCATAGATATTGAATGCGTATAGCAAGTTTTGCAACAACATACTTATCTCGTGTCTCTACGTCATTTTTTTACAATAAAATATTTTGTTATTAAGATACGTACATTATGACTGCCTGAAAAAATAATTTTATTGCACACTTAATGGACTATAGTAAACTCACATTTCAATTCATTGTGCTTCGCTTTAGTACGTTTCGCAAATATCGGCGTCAGTTTTCCAACAGCACGTGCTTATTTCATGTCTGTGTGTCACATTATTTTAACCATAGTCTTTTTTTATTAATTGATATCTGTCAAAAACTATTTCATATATGATATTTTATGTTTTTTGCATATTTAATATTTTGTTTTTCGTATGTTTATTTCTTGAATAAATTTTTTTTGCGCTAGTATTACAAAGTTGTCTTTCAACGTTGTTTGTCATTTTCTATTGCAGAATTTGCAGTGAAAAGTTACCAACAGAAAAATGAGTGAAAAATTAATTAAAAGGAAACGGTAGCATGTGGCATAGTTTGAATATTAAATGTGCAATGCAGAACAAAAAGACTTCCGTGTGTATATATATATATATATGTATATAAATTTTTCCAAAGCTGTCTTCTATTACAAGAAGATTCAAACGTGTTGCGTGAGGAATCTGTCGGTTGAACGAGCTAAATAGCACATTTACAGAGGAGATTATAAGTAATTATCAGAAATGGTTTTCCAAACATATCTAACTTCATTATACATGGTTGAATTCGTAAAACAATAATCTTTCTTTTGATGATAAAAAAATTTTCGTTTGCTTCAACAAGGAGAAATAACCCAATAGCTGATATTGAATTGTTTCGTGACAGCTATTCTTTATTAAAAGGTACATTATTGTTAAAATAATGTGACACAGAAACATGAAGTAAATACGTGCAGTTCGAAAATGGCACCGATATTTGTGTAATATCTGCGAAATTCAATAAAGCGAAGCAAGACAAGTGCCTGTACTGTAGTTTATTAAGTGTACAATCATATCTAAAAACATATCTTAATGTTTTTTACGTTCAACCGACAGATTCCTCACGCAACACGTTTGAATCTTCTTGTAATAGAAGACAGCTTTGGAAAAATTTATATACATATATATATATATATACACACGGAAGTCTTTTTGTTCTGCATTGCACATTTAATATTCAAACTATGCCACATGCTACCGTTTCCTTTTAATTAATTTTTCACTCATTTTTCTGTTGGTAACTTTTCACTGCAAATTCTGCAATAGAAAATGACAAACAACGTTGAAAGACAACTTTGTAATACTAGCGCAAAAAAAATTTATTCAAGAAATAAACATACGAAAAACAAAAGAGCAAAACATAATAAAACAAGGCATACCTGCATTCGTTATCAAAACTATTAATGAAGCTAAGGTAATTATCTTATTTAGTAATAGCTTTATTAATAGTTTTGATAACAACAAATTATCTTAGTTTTATTATTAGTTTTAGTACTGAAGAATTATCTTAGCTTCATTAATAGTTTTGTTAACGAATGCAGGCATATCTTGTTTTATTGCGCTTTACTCTATTGCTCTTCGCAGATATTGCACATGATGTAATAATACAAGGTGTAACATTGCGCATAATGGCGACGGCATAATCGAACAGCCAATAAAAATCTGGTCACAAATGTAACTGCGAAATTTTGAAACGTTTTTCCGTATATTTCATAATTTTGGAGATATGTGCGTGGATCATTTAAAATGAGACACCCTGTAGAATACTACAATTATTTATAGATGGCTATGGAAATCTATCAGAATTTACGTTGAATTATGGTTCTCTGTATCCAATTAACTGTGTTCAAGTTCTAATTCCGAGAAATGTGTAGCCAATCAACTTACAACATTTAATTTTTCGGTCTACAGCGCGGGACACTGCAGACCTAACATGGCGGCTGTAGCCGGCCAATCAGGAAGTAGAACAGTTTTTCGCTTCTCTACTTATAGGACTCTACACGTAAGCGTCTGCAGATGGCACTGCAGATCGGAAATTCCTCCGTGTTTCTAACGGGACTTCTCCTTCTTCTCGTTTTTACTCCTTGTTGAAGAGGACAGTCGAATGGTGATGCCTGCTTGCGTTGGAAATTTTGTGGCGCCAATTACGCTATTTTCGTATTTCACGCATTCTATTTGATTATCTTCAAGTATGCCGGCGTTTTTGAAGCATATCGAAGTCGAGAATTTCAAGTCTTACAAAGGGAAGCTTATTATCGGTCCGTTGAAGTCTTTTACAGCAGTGGTTGGCCCTAATGGATCCGGTAGGTTATCCTTCTGTGTATCAACAAGGGTTGCGTTCGGCGAACGCAACATTTGAGCGAGGATCGTCAAGGATGACTGTACACTTCTAAATTTATTGGGCCTAGCTTTCCAAAGGTCGCTCGCTCAATCGTTCGTTTGTCGAACGCAAGCTATTTGCATTTTAAGCTGACAGACAGGCGAACTTTATGTGACTGACTCTTGCACGCACACAGGAAAATCTAACTTCATGGACGCGATCAGTTTCGTCATGGGCGAGAAGACCAGCAGTCTGCGAGTCAAGAGATTCAGCGAGCTCATTCACGGCGCATCCATTGGGATGCCAGTATCGCGAAGGTTATCTGACACATATACAGGATGTCGCAGAAAATTTCGGACTACTTTTGTATGCAGATAGAACAAACTCGACAAAGTTCTCTATCATTCTGCAATTTTTGCAATAGTTAGCGAGTCATACTTGGCCATCCAGCCGGTCGAGGTTGCTAGACGCACAGGGAGTTTATAAAAAACGATAACTAAACGACTTACCGTGCGCCTAGCAATGTTGGTTGCTGGACAGCTGCATTTCTCCGTGTGTTTGAATTGGGCTGTAGGCCCTGCCTAAGATGATGAACTCGTTTTCAACTATTGCGCAAATTGTAAAATGGTAGAGGACTTTTCGACTTGAAGCGTTTTCCAGCAAGAGACGCAGTTGACACGGTGCAATGTGGTGAATTGTTTTATCCTTGTCGTTTGCCAAAGTTAAACGAGCGGACTTCACGATTTACAGTGTTGCACCGTGTCTGTGTGCCATGGCTGTGTTTCGATATTAACTGCCAGTACTGCAAATCTATAGTTTACGTCACGTATACTATACATTTTCAGTACTGGCAGTGAATGTCGGAACACAGCCTATGTCTCTTGCTGAGAAACGTCATCAGTCCAGTCTGTTCTATTCACACATAAAAATAGTCCCAAATGTATATTCAGGGTGTCCTAAGAAGCTCAATAATCCTTTCACTGACAGATTCTAATTGTAAGATGTAGAACGTTCTAAGACAAAAAGCCTTGTAAAAATGTCGAGGCTATCACGTAGCGTCTTCCATTGCACTGGCAGCACTGAGTGCTTGAAGCATATTGTATCTTTTTAGATGTTTTCCAACAAGAGACACAGTTGACACGGTGTAATATGGTGAATTGTTTTATCCTTGTTTAATTTTGGCAAATGACAAATACTAATACAACAACGGCTAATATCAATGAAATATGCTTTTCAAGCACTCTGTGCAAGTGAGTTTTCCCCAATGGAAGACGCTAATAGTTTTTCAATGGAAAGTACTCGTAGGTGACTAATCAGTTTGTGAAAATTTCGCGCACTCAGACATGCAATTGTACATTGCGAAGGTGCTGCTTTTCAAAGTAATTTTTCTGTCGCATTCAGAATTATGTCAGTTTCTAGAAACCGCATCTATGTGCAAGGCCCTCACAACGTACCATGCCTGAGCGTGCGAAATTTCCACAAACTGATTAGTGAACTATAAGTACTTCGCATTTACAAGCTAATAGCCTCGACATTTTTACATAAGGATTTTCGTCTTGTTAGGACGTTCTACATCTTGGAATCAGTTAGTGAAAGAGTTGTCGAGCTTTCTGAGATATCCCTGTGTACATAACGATACTCTACATATTGCTAGAGTTGTGCATTATAATTTACATATTTCATCTCTATGGATTGTGTAAAAACCATAAGTTTTCTGTTGAATACAGCGCTTCGGTAACAGCTGTATTCGAATTGGAAGATGGAACTGAGAAAAGCTTCATGCGGTCAGTGCAGGGCTCTTCTTCGGAGCACAGAATCAATAGTAACGTGAGTTTTGTAGCTAGCATTTTAACTTTCCAATTAAATGTATTTTCTCGATATCCTTTTAATGAACATGGGTTTGTGCGCATTTAACGCTACTTTTCCCAATTTAAAGTATTAAAAAGAATCGGAGATAATTCAGGAAACATCTGCCTACATTGAAGTTAACGATGTCAAAGACATTTTGATAAAATTTTTTTTATAAATTTTGAATACAGTTATACGAGGATACATGCCCACATGTTACTTTAGCTTGGACGCCATATTCAGTTGCACATGTGCATTTCGAGATTCTTAAAATGTTTTTCTCCACAGGTTGTCACCAGCCAGGTGTATCTTAACGAGTTGGAACATCTTGGTATTAATGTTAAAGCAAAGAACTTTTTGGTATTCCAAGGTGCAGTCGAATCTATAGCCATGAAAAACCCAAAGGAACGCACTGCTTTGTTTGAGGAGATTAGTAATTCTGGTTCGTTAAAAGCAGAATATGAAAGGTGAATTCTCAATTGCCACCTGTGGTTACACTTGGTAATGTGCTTGTAAATAATGAAAGTAACGTTGTAGATTAAAAACAGAAATGTTGAAAGCTGAAGAGGAAACCCAATTTTCGTATCAGAAAAAGAAAGGGATTGCCGCTGAAAGAAAAGAGGCAAAGTTAGAAAAAGAAGAGGCTGAAAAATATCAACGTCTCAAGGAAGAATACGTGTGTATATTTCAGTTTTTCTGTAATATTTAGCATTATACATATTGAACAAGAAATTGAATAGAAATTGTACATATCCATTTTCTTTTACCAATTTATTTGTGTAACTGTTAATCACAAAAATTTACTTTTTGTTTTTAGATGGAAAAACAAATAGAGCTACATCTATTTCGATTATATCACAACGAAAAGAGTACAGAAAATTTTGAGCTCTCTCAAAAGAAGAAGCAGCACGAAATTGAAAAAGTTGAAAAGAAGAAGGAGAAGGCTGAGGAATTGTTGAAAGAGAAGAAAAAAGATGCCGCCAAACTGAGTAGAGATCTTGCAAAGATAGAGCAAGATATCAGAGAAGTGGAAGTAGAAATCACGAAAAAGAGACCGACGTTTATCAAAGCCAAAGAACGTGTCGCGCATATGCAGAAGAAGGTGGAATCGGCACGCAAATCATTGGCTCAGGCGCGTATCGCAGACGAGGCTCATAAAAAAGACATACACGAACTGCAAGAGGAATTGCGACAGGTGGAGGAAGCTAAGGCTTCTTACGAAGCGAGTATAGCAGGGCAATCGCAATTACAAGGAAGAGACGTGCAATTGGAAGATGAACAGGTACAAATAAATTGCATAATGTTTACGAAATTTTTAAGTATGCTATTATTAAATTTACAGTTATTATGAATTAAACGCAATTATTGCTATGTGAGTAAACTGCAAACTGTGGAATTATGCTTGTCTAATTAATTGATAAAATAATTTTAGGTACAAGAATATAATCATCTGAAAGAGGAAGCTGGCAAGCAATCTGCGAGGTACCTTCAGCTTCTCGATTCCATCAATCGTGAACAAAAGTCAGATCAAGATAGGCTCGACAATGAAGGGAGGAAGAAGACCGAGATAGAGAATAAGCACAAGCAGAAGGGTCACATGCGAGACGAGGCGCTTAAACGAGTGGAAAAGTTGGAGGAGCATATAAAAACATCGGAGGCTGCGTTGGAGGATCAGAAAAAGCTCAGGGCTGACTTGCAGTCCGATGTAGGCACGTCGAAGGATAAGATTCAAAATTTGCAACGAGAGTTAGAGAGCATCTCCGAGCAACTCGGTGATGCTAAAGTTGATAAGCACGAAGTATCCAGAAACAAGAAAAAGACAGAAATTGTGGAGAATTTCAAACGTCTGTTTCCTGGAGTGGTGCGTTATCTCTTTTTCCTGCTTTCTTTAAAATAAAAGCGAAATGATTCACGTGTTGTTTTTTTTTCTCTTTAGTACGATCGGATGTACAACATGTGCGAGCCAATACACAAGCGATATAATGTTGCGATTACGAAAGTACTTGGTAAATATATGGAGGCTATCGTAGTAGATACCGAGAAAACAGCCAGACAGTGTATCCAGTATTTGAAGGAGCAGTATCTCGAACCTGAAACGTTTCTTCCGCTTGATTACATACAAGCTAAGCCACTTAAAGAACGTCTTCGGTAAATTAATTATATAATTATTTTATTTTAAGTACTTTATATCCTTTTATTATTTTATAATGATGGCTATATTGCTGTTTTACAGCAACATACAAGAACCTAAAAACGTGAAGTTGCTATACGATGTGTTGCATTTTTCTCCAAAGGACATTGATAGAGCAGTCCTCTTTGCAACTAACAATGCTCTTGTGTGCGAAACACCGGAAGATGCAAATAAAGTAGCATACGAGATGGACAAGAAAACTAGATATGATGTAAGTATACACGCATTAATTTTACTTAAAGTAATAACGTGAACTATAATATGTATGCAAAATATTTACAGTGCGTCGCATTAGACGGTACATTTTATCAGAAAGCTGGTATAATATCTGGTGGCAGTTTGGATCTTGCAAAGAAAGCAAAGAGATGGGATGAGAAACAGATGTCTCAGTTAAAGGCGCAGAAGGTGATGTCTTTTATCTCTATATTTTATAGAGATAAAACTATGTTTTTATTTTTATTTACAGGAAAAATTGACGGAAGAATTGAGAGAATCTTTGAAAAAATCACGCAAGGAATCCGAATTGAACACGATTGAATCTCAAATACGTGGTTTGGAGACTCGCCTAAAATATAACAAAAGTGACCTGTCTGCAACAGTGAGTATTACCTACTGCGCTGTTTGTGCGACTACATAATTATTTAAAACTATATCTGGTAATTTTTATTTTGTAGCAAAAACAAATCGCGGATCTTGAAGTGGAATTAGATGGTCTGCAAAATGAGTTAAACATGTTTGGCGTAAGTTTTAATAAAAAATAAATTATATACGCACACGCGCACACACATATTTATTCATATTTGATCAAAATATTTCAACATTTTTTATGTATAGCCTGCAATAGCAGCTATTGAGAAAACTATGGCTGAAAGAGATCAAGAGATACAGAACATTAAAGAAAAGATGAACAATGTTGAGGACGACGTGTTTGCCAGTTTTTGTGAACAGATAGGTGTTTCGAATATCCGTCAATATGAAGAAAGGGAATTAAGGTGCGAAGGAACTATGTTGTAAGATAAATGTTGTTTTAGATTTAGACACTAAAGTGTCGAATACACAATTTTCTAGGTCGCAACAAGAAAGAGCAAAGAAAAGAATGGAGTTTGACAATCAATGCAATCGTATTTATAATCAATTAGATTTTGAGAAGCAACGTGATACAGAAAGTATGTTGTGAAAATATAGTTTTTATTTTATACACTATATATTAACTGTCAATTATTGCATTTTAATATTATTTAAAACATAGGTAACGTTTTGCGATGGGAACGAGCGGTGCAGGATGCAGAGGATAAACTTGAATCCGCAAAGCAAACCGAATCTAATCAAAAAGCGGAGATCGACCATGATGAGCAACAAATGGAACAACTGAAGTCATCTCGCAATGCTAAAAAGATGGAGGTCGATCAGAAAGAAGATGAAATTGGTAAAGCTAGGCGTGAAATGGGAGCCATCGCAAAGGACATTCAGGCAGCTCAGAAGCAGCTTAACGCTATTGAAACGAAGATTGAACAGAAGAAAGCCGAACGACATGCCATTTTGATGCAGTGCAAGGTTTGTCGATATGAGATTGTATTATTCGACTATATTATGCGTATTCTTTTGAACTATTAAATGTATTTGACAATATGTAGATGGAAGATATTGCCATACCCATGTTGCACGGAAATATGGAAGATATAGCAGGTGAAACGAGTACGGCAAACGGAAGTGAAACCAATAATGATTCATCAGTAAACACACAACAACAGTATGAACGCGAAAGGAGGATTACCATAGACTATGCGCTCTTGCCCGAAAATCTGAAGGATGTGGAAGAGGAGGATATCAAAAAGACAACCGACAAGTTAACGAAAATAATCAACGATTTGCAAAATACAATACAGCGCATACAAGCTCCCAATATGAAGGTTCGCAAGAAATTGTACTTCAAAATTATTAATGTTTTGGTAAATGTAAAACGTTATGAAGTTATAAAACATTTTTGTTCCCCTTTCTTAGGCAATCCAAAAATTATATTTGGCGAAAGAGAAACTACAAGAGACTAATGAAGAATTTGAGCAGTCTCGTAAGAAAGCAAAGAAGGCAAAGACACAATTCGAGAAGGTGAAAAAAGAACGACATGACAGATTCATGACATGTTTCGAACATGTAGCGAACGAGATTGATCCTATTTACAAGGTTTGTGAAGTTAATGAATTTGCATAAAAACATATATGCAACATTTCTTCTCCAAACAGCATATAATTTATATTAATCATATTTATTATGTATATTGTGGTTGTTTCAGAGTCTAGCGAAGAATCAATCCGCTCAGGCATTCCTTGGACCAGAAAATCCTGAAGAACCCTACTTGGATGGCATTAATTATAACTGCGTGGCTCCTGGCAAACGATTTCAGCCAATGTCCAATTTGTCTGGTGGTGAGAAAACCGTCGCTGCGCTTGCTCTGTTATTCGCAATCCACAGGTTAATATTTTAAATACAAAATCACATTGATGATAATTCGAATATAACATCCATTGCTTGTCTGTGTTCAGTTTCCAGCCTGCACCGTTTTTCGTTCTGGACGAGATCGACGCGGCTCTCGATAACACCAACATAGGAAAGGTAGCCAGCTACATCCGCGACAAAACAAGCTCGCTACAGACGATTGTTATATCATTGAAAGAGGAATTTTACTCGCACGCGGATGCGCTCATCGGCATTTGTCCGGATGTAAGTAGATTGCAAGTCATTTTATGTGTCTTTGTTGAGATATTTGAATCAACTGTATCCTGTTAAATATGAATTACAGGTAGGCGAGTGTTTGGAGAGCAAAGTATTGACTCTCGACTTGACTACATGTCCTACACATATTTCGTAGATGTTTATTATTTAAAAGAAATCATTATTTTACTTTTCTAATATATATATACAACTATATAGATATGTTTGCTGTGGACGATTTTTAATTGTGTCTTGAAAGAGGAATATATAAATACTACAAGAATATTAACGTATCACTTTATGATTTCTAGATTTATTCACGTTCTTTATGTTACTTTGAAATCATTGTAACCTTACTATCGTACTTTTTGATAAATTAGGTCATAAACATCTCGGCTACAAGTCAGAATAAGCGGATAGTAATTGCGAGTGTGAGACATAAAGTTACGCTTGATGTAAATAGCTTTTAAGACTTTAATAAAAATGCTAGAACAAATGATTGCGTTAATGAGACCCACGTTCATGACCATTTATTAAAAATGTTTCAACGATACATGATATTAATAACAATACAAAGCAATAACTTGTGTAACATTATGTTTGCACGTATCTTAATTTGTACGTATCATACTATGTACATTCTTTTTGCGAATTTATTTCATATTTAAGCAATGGCACGATGATTACATTTTTGTTCGTTCACGTTGCGCGATCTCACTTTCCTTCAAATATATGTACTTTTATTTCGTGAACTTGTAACAATTTCAAAATAGCTTGTTGGTTTAAACTTTCGCGCCCCCACTGTTACACCTTCACTTTCCTTAGAACCAAAAAGACTAGAGTGTGAGCCGAGTGGGATAGATGAAGAAGAATTTGCACATTGGCAACCCTGTTATTTCGAAGAATCTGGAGTAACGTCTCTACAAGATTCCCAACGGTCATTTGCTTACTGGTCAAAATTCGTCTTTGATAAACGTCTTGTTCCTTAACAATGCCCACTTCCATACATACCATCGAGATTTCCAATTTCAAGTCGTTCCCGGGAAGAACGATAATCCGTCCTATTCCGCCGTTTACGGCAATAATTGGTCCAAATGGATCCGGTGAGATTCTTATGCACTTTACAACATTCATTTTATTCGATCTTGAACCAAATAATTTTCCTGCATATTTAAGTAGCTTGTTTTTATTTCTCCACTTTTGTATGACAAATAATTATGAATGAGCAATTTTTCCCTTTAACAAATTTTATTATATAAAAGCATGTGTAAATCTATAAAATTATATGTACAGAACTGTGTAGAATTGTATGGAATTATATAGAAATATACAATGTACAAATATGTATGGACATATTTGGTGTATAATTTTGTATAATACTATACATATATTTATACATGCTTATGTATGAAAAATGTTTTACCGGGTTATTTGTGTAACTTAATAATATTTTATTCAAGTTTAATACAATAACAAATAAGATTATATTAATTAAGGTGAACAATTTTTGATTTTTTTAGAGAAATTTAAATTTCCAATCATTTCTCCTGTTTACATTTCGTCCACATTTTTTTCCCCTTTCTGTTACTATTATACTTTCATATTCCAAGCAAGAGATGTAGGCGTTTTATGTATTTTAGGAAAATCAAACATTATAGACGCCATAAGTTTTGCATTAGGGGAGAAACCGAGCGCTTTGCGTGTTGGACGCCTCAGCGAACTCATTCACAGAGGAATTGGTACTCCAACTCCCGTTGGAGTACCAATAAAAAAGTATTAAGGAGACATTTTCTCAATTGATTTAATCTTAATTTCATGTCATGCTGTTAGATATTTTAAGTTTTTAACAATGTTGCAGCATTACCTACGTCAAAGTAGTTTTCAATGTAGACGGTGGAATACGAAAAAGTTTCACGAGAAAGATATATGGCAAAGACTGCCAGTACATAATAGACGACGAGGTGCAATTCTACAACACTATTTACAATCTTGTCAAATTGTTTTCTTATCTTATTACACTACTTGACACTAATTGATCGTTCATCTATCATCATACAGGATGTTACGAAAGTATTTTATATGTCTAAACTACGAGAAATGGGGCTGGATATAAATGCAGAAAACTTTTTGATACCTCAGGGTTACATCGAATGTTTCGTAGCAAAAGATTTAACCGCGATGTTCGAAAAGACCAGTAATTCAATTATGTACAAGGCAGAGTATGATAGGTATAACTTTCGTTCTAACTGACGATGGTACAAGTTTCGCTGCGTGATTTGATAAATTTACTAGATTTTGATTTTTTATTTTTATGGCAGATTAAAATTAAAACTTTCGAAAGCGCAAGAGGAAGTAAATTTTCAGCAACAAATGAAAAAACTGATATTAACTCAAAAGAAAGACGCCATTATAGAAAAAGCACAGACCGACACATATTTAGAGTTGAAAAAGGAATATGTATGTTACATTTATTTTTAAATTATAAAATTTTTTAGAAATTACCCTGCATCTTTTATATAGCTATGGTAAAATAATTATTAAACATTACAGAATAAGACAAAATTAGAATTTCAATTAATTCGATTGCTCCTCATTAAGAAGGAAAGTGACTCCTTACAAGATGAGAAAAGAGAAATCAAATTGCAAATAGATAAGCATCTAAGTAATAAGGGAGCTGTGGTACTTTTATTGCAATGTACAAAGCCACAATGTCAGTCATTACGTAGTTCTCTGGAAGATATTACAAAAGATATTCTAGAAAAGGAGAATATTATTCAACAGAGGAAAGTAGAATATGTTTCCATTGAGGACACTATTTCACTTTGGCAGAAACGCCGTGATCACGCTCGTGTATCTCTAGACAGTGCAAGTAAAGCGTATGACGCTAAGAAAAGAACGATTCAAGAATTAAAAGATGAGCTAAAACAAATAAACAATCGATTAACGGAGTTAAAAAAACAGCCACAGATAAGCATGGCAGAACTCAGCAACTCTCAGGTATGCCGTTGCGAAATCAATTGTATTTATGCAGTATCTGAAAACTAGAATATAATTTATGAAACAAGTATTGTCGGGTTTTGTCATCTTATGATAAATTTTTGCCTAATATAATAATGTACACATAAGGTTAAACGTTACGAGGAATTGAGGAATGAAGCTGGGTATCGAGCGGCGAAATTTGTAGAGCAAATAAATAGCTTAATGTGCGCCCAAGAAAAGGATCGAGATAAACTTGATAATGAAAATAGGCGTAAGCAAGAATTGGAGAACAAAGTAAAGCTCATAAGTTTAAGGAAGGAGAACCTCGAAACGCGGCTCACAAAACTGCACCATTTAAACGCCGAATCCAAAGCAACATTAGTGGAAAAGACAGCAAAAATGCAAGGACTAAATCAGAAAATTACTGAAATAAGCAATGAATCATCCAGTCTGACGAATGATATTGCAAAGATTACACAGGAGCTTTCTCAGGCTAATACTGATAATAATATGATTTTGCAACAGATTGAGAAAAATGAAACAATTAAAATGTTTAAACAGTTGTGCTCTGGCGTGGTATTAATTCTGCTAATTATTATTACATTTATATAATCATATGAGGGCTATAGATCTAGTTAACAAAAAGTTAATACAATTTTATTTTTTAGTATGGTCGCTTATCTGATTTATGTAAACCTATTCATCCACGTTATAATGTTGCAATAACCAAAGTTTTTGGTAAAAATATGGATGCCATCGTTGTTGATACTAGACATACAGGATATAAATGCATCCAATTTTTAAAAGAGCGAAAAATAAGCGTTGAAACATTTTTACCGCTTGATTCGATAAAAAGTATATTTTTAAAGGAACAATTACGGTAAGTAATTAGAGAAACAATATATTTTTGGATAATATAATATATAATATTATTTTACAGTACTATACAAAACCCGAAGCATGTGAAATTATTATATGATGTATTGAATATTTCATCACCACAAATAAACAAAGCGGTTTTATTTGTCACTAAGAATACTTTAGTTTGCGAGACTGCTGAAGATGCAAGGATAGTAGCGCACGTCTCTGGTGATAAACAAGGAGCATATGATGTAAGTTTATATATGTATATGTATATACACATGTATACACATAACGTATGCATTTTATTATTTTTATTTATTTATTTTATTTATAATACTCTTATATATTTTTTCATTTATAGTGTGTTTCATTGGATGGGTCTTTTTTTCGTAAAGATGGTACAATATCTGGTGGACAAGCTGATTTAATTGTAAAAGCAAAACAATGGGAGAACCAACAAATATTAACTTTGGAGAAAAAAAAGGTTGTACATTTTTTGCAGGATTAGTGCAACAAGTTACACATAGCGGTTTATATGATATACATAGGTCATATAATATACACCATTTTTTAGGAACAATTAATGCAAAAACTCAGAGAATTGCCCAAAATTTCTCTTATGCAATCTGACCTTGATATAGTTAATATGGAAATTGACGGACTCGTGCTCCGAAATAAATATATTGAGAAAGATATAAAAGACACTGTATGTAATTGAAAAGCAGGAACGGTTTATATCTTACAATTTTAATAAACATATAACTTATTAAATAATAATATATAAAATCTGCATTTTATAGGAAGATGAAATAGTTAACATAAATGAAGAATTAGATGTGCTTGGTGAAAGGCTAATTGTATTAAATGTATGTATTTCAATGTTTATATATATATATACATATTATATCTTCTTTCTACATTTCTATCTAAAGTTTTTTATTGATCTATAACAAAAAAGTATTTGTATTATCTGTAAAACTTTTAGATGGCAATATCTGAAATTCAAGGCAGTGTCCAAAACCGAGATAAAGATATTAAAAACCAGGAGAAACATGTTAATGCAATTAAAGATCAAATCTTTGTTAATTTTTGTAAAGATATTAACGTGCCGAATATTAGCTATTATGAGAAGAATAATTTGCGGTATGACATTTTTAATTTATTGTATGATTTTAATCTTTATGCATATACAGAAAAATAAGTTTAATATTAATTTTTAGAATTTTTAAAGAACAAGAACAGAGGCAAGAGGAGCTGAAGCAGCAGTATGATCGTATCGAGAATCAATTGTGCTTTGAAAACGAGACTGATATAGAAAGTAAATTTTTTAATCTTATTTTTATCACTGTATAGTCTATAATCATTAATGTTCTGATATACATATATGTACGAATTTTGTGAGAAAAGGTAAAATGTTGACATGGAAACACGCTGAGGAACAAGCTGATGCAGAACTTGATAAGGTTTATTGGCAAAAACGTCATGTAAAGATTACGATTGAGCAAGACGAAGAAGAAATGTCGAAGTTAAAAACTAGTTACACAAAACTGGAAAAGAATCTAGAGAATGTGGAAATAAAATTGGCACAGCACAGATCGCAAATTGACGTTATCGGAACATTGTATCTGGAAAGTCAGAAAGCACACATTGCTGTACAAAGAAAAATAGAACAGAAAAAAATAGAATGCAACACTGTGCTTAAAGAATGCAAGGTTTGCAAAATTCTAAAGAAACTAAAAAGTATCTAATACAAAAGATGAACTGTAAGAGATTTGTGGATGCAAATATTAAATATCACTTGGCATTAGTTTAGACTTTCACTTCAGTTATACTCATTCAGTTATAATTAACATATTTACTTTTACAGATGGAAGACTTTATCATTCCAATGTCGGAGATATCACATCGTAGGCCAGCAGAAAGCTCTACAAGTAGCTCAAACATGGAGTCATCAGAAAGTTGTGAAGTGTTCACAAAAATTGATTTCTCGCAATTTCCTAGGAACATCTGTAATTGTACAGAAGAAGATTTACAAGATACAGCTAAACAACTTAATGAAAATCTTACAAAGATTGAAAATGAATTTGAAAATATACTAAAACCCAATCTTAAAGTATACAACATTCATAATTTTATATAAAATACATACATATACAGGGAGTTTAAAAAGTAATTCAGGACTTTAAGGGCAGACAGTAAAGGCAGAAGGAAATAAATGCAGAAACTGATGAACACTATACGAGTATATATATATTTGAACTGTAAAGACCACTGTTACACTGTATAGCCGGAATGACTCCCGAGGGCACGTCCGACTCTCCTTTGAGACGAGGAACACGCCGGACGTGCCCTCGGGAGTCATTCCGGCTATACAGTGTAACAGTGGTCTTTACAGTTCAAATATATATATACTCGTATAGTGTTCATCAGTTTCTGCATTTATTTCGGCATCCTACAGAGATACGCGAATATCCCTTCGCGTAAAGACAATCGTGAGGCTTACAAGGTTTTGCTACATGCCATTTCCATAAGTAATAAAAATATGATGTACTCTTCATCGATAGATAATTCCCCGAATTACATCAGAGAATACAAAATGCGAGTCAAATAATCTTAATGGAAACAAAGAAATTGTAACTCCGACAATATTAATTTTTCAAACCACGTTTATTAAGGCCTGTATCTACGATGCTAGAACTTGGTCCAAGTTCTAATTTTGAGAAATGTGTAGCCAATAGTTTTTATGAAATAGCTACAAGTTGAATGGCTACACATTTCTTGAAACTAGAACTTGGACTAAGTTCTAGCATCTTGGACACAGGTCTTTAGAATTTTTTTCTTCATGTTCGTGATATTTGCGCTTAAAGTTCTGGAATCATTTTTTAACCCTATATATTTTTTTGAAAAAGCAATCTTATGAATTTTGATACGTACAGGTTGATGAGAAAATCGATACGATAGCGCAACAAATACAGGAGATAAATACAAATCTTCGAGACTGCCGTAAAAACTGTGAGATAATAAAAACGCAATTTGAGTTGATAAAAGCAAAGAGATACAAACTATTTAAAGACTGTCTGGATCGTATTGCTGCGGAAATAGATTCTATATATAAAGTCGGTTGTTTTAATTTTATTAAAAAATTCTGTTTTCTATTATATATACTTTACAATTTTTATCTGACTTATTTTTTATGCAGAATCTAGTTAATGACACTTCGGCTCAAGCAATTATCTTACCAGACAATCCAGAGGAACCGTATGCAGGCAATATAATGTACAACTGCATAGCACCGTCTAAAGGTTTTCTGCCATTACAAAATCTATCTGGTGGAGAAAAGTCACTCGCTAGTTTAGCATTGCTATTTGCAATACAGCGGTATATTTTAATTCTAAGACTAATAGAATGTGTTTTATATTGGATGCATTTGGATGCTTTTATAATACGATAAAAGAACGACTGATGATTAAGTTTAAAACATAATCTCACTTTTTTCATTTACAGTTATAAGCAAATACCGTTTCTTATTATGGACGAAGGTGATGCGGCATTAGATAACGCGAATATTAAATATGTTATTCGCTTTATTCAATCCCAAATAAACACAATGCAATTTATCACAATATCCTTAAACCAAAAGTTTTATTCTGGCGCTGATGCGCTTGTGGGGGTTACCGTTAAAGTAAGTTGATAATTTATATTATTTTATAATTTTTCACGATTGTATTGTATTTTATTATTGCTTTTAGCATGGCACGGAAATCCTTCGCAGCAAAGTAATTACTATTTCGTTAAATAAATATAGTACATAAAAGTAAATAATTCAGTATGTTGCAAACAATGTTAAATTATTTTAAATGTTGTCAGAGTTATGAATAATTTATATTAAGAACATGTTTCTATATATATTTTTTATTTTAAGATATATTTTCTTTCAAATTATTATATTGTACATGCATTGGAAATATTTCATAAGTAGAATAGTCTGAGATTTGACAAATTTCCATATTTGAAACAATATGACAATATGGTAATCAGACAAGTTAGGTGTAATCAGGGTTGGGGTTTAATCTACTACATCTAATTTAATTTAATTTGTATTAAACAATTGTATTAAATTCCATTATATATATTATATATTTATAATTTGTGTTAAAAATAATATTTAAAACTAGGAAACATAAAATAACACATGTTAGTATTATAATGCAAAGTAAAATATCTTTGCAAAGTATTTTATAAAAAATTATTTTGTTTGTTTTAATTTTAACGTACGTATAACCATTTGCATATGTCTCCCTGAGATAAGTTTCGTGATGACATCGTCACGCGCGCGCGTGTACGAAGGTACTACGATATTTAGAGCAATTACCATTATCTCTACGATTGCATTAGTGCTCGTACGCAGATCTGTAGTTTCTGTCAGTAGACATCTGACGTATTTATTTGGTGTATTTATAACAACTATATATAATATCAAAAATATAAATAATTTAATATCAATTGCCAAAAAATGTGTAACAGAAAAATGGATTTGCTCTACATATATATATTATTTAGTTGTGCAATCAGATTTTCTTTGTTAGTTTTTATGCTTACTAATATGAATTATTTGTTATGAATCAATATATGATTACCATATTATAATTATTTTCTTAGAATTATTGTAATAAATAATATCTTAATAAAAATGATTACGTAATTTAAGTAGATGCTTAATTTAATTAATTAAGATAATATAAAAATATTTTGATTTCTATTTAAGAGACAAGTTGGAGCGGTTAAGTAACAAAATTTATTCTATTAAAGTATTCTAACAATTTTAAGATGTTTGTATTTCTTTATTGCATTTAATTATGAAACGATAAATTATATTATATAAATTTTTCCTTTACAATATACGTTAAAATAAATTATTAATGCAAAAAACAGTGAGAGAGTTGTCAGAGAGTATATTCTATTAATATATAGAACGCGAGTCCATACGAAAAAATTAATTTCCTCTGATATACAATGAAGGAAAGAAGGAATATACTTAATTTTCCATTTCTGACGACTGATTCGATGTGGCCGTAGTGAGGAAACGAGAGTCTCAAGAGCGTAAGCACTTCCAATCGAATGTCAATACTAATTTACAATGAAACTATGCCGGTTGCCGGTTTGCGTTGCTCCGATTGCTTACATTAAACATAGTAGTAACTCTGATTTATAGTCGCAAGTAACGAATGGAGGAGGTGCAGGTCAATGCAGCCTATTGCGGCTAACGCCTCGTAAAATAAGACGCATGCTCCGGGAATGCGGCCAAAATGATGATTGTCGTTTAATAAACGTATTAAGTGGAAACAGCAACATCTCGGTATATCGGAGCTCGAGTACTTCTCTGGTGCTAACTGATAAAAATGAGGCAGAACGCTTATCGCGAACTAGGTCGTCGCAGCTCGCGTTTCAATGGATCGGGTACATTTGCAACATCAACACAAGGATGCGTACGTGGTGCTCGTAACAAAATGAATTACTTGGTACCAGAAGGCTTCACCAAGCTTTGTAAATTCCTCTGAAAGTCTCTGATTAAATAAAATTATTAAAAAGAAATCAGAATGCGTACCGTAGATCATTTGTGTTTCAATTCTTATATTATAGAAAATAACTTTTCTCGATAAAAGCGCTTTTTTAATTTAATTTCTAAGCTTATCTTGTGCTGTTATATTTCTTGTAATAAACGATTCAGTTGTATTCAAATTGTTCTAATGCTAGTTATTCTTGTAAGATAGTTAATTACTTATTAAGAGCGAATGTAAATGAATCGTTAATTTTTATGACAGTCGAAAAAAGGGTGATAAAAATATGAGCGGAGAATAAATTTTGTATTACTTTTCCAGAGTGAATACGTGCGGATTATCTATCTCACGATTAGACTTCAAGAGACCTCGATCCGCCGCAACACAGAAAATTTATGCTTAATTAAAAAATCGGGTGTAATGACAACGGCGCCATGATGCATGTCGCATGCAACCCTTAAGCGTAAGGTGACGACCTCGATTGTGCAGTGTCGTATCGCTTCTGACAATACGCGGAATAATGGTTCTACAGTGACAATACTGTGTGACATGCTCTCTTATAGCTTCCATGAATTTACCGCGACATTATTTAGCGAGGACTTCGAAGACATATTCAAATACAGTTAAGTTTAACATCTTTACCGTTAAGTTTTTTCATTTCGTGGTATTTATTAAGAATATTCACGGACGAGACTAATATTTAATGTTAAGATAAAGCAAATGATAAAGCATATTATTTATTATGTAAAATTAATTTGAAATTAATTTACAGCTAAATATTATATATATATTCATTAAGGAAAAAATATAATTTTGTACACTTAAAAAAGAATGTCTTATATGTATGTATTGATCCGGACCTCTCCCAATAAATTATTTATTGATATTACTTGTCGAGATTACACAATTATCATATATTGTATTTAATATTTATATAATGTATATAATATATATTATATATAAATGTGTACAAATATATAAATAAAAATTAATATATATGTATAGCTTGATAATATTTTATATATAATATATGTATATTAGACAAAACTGCGAAAGATAAAAAATTAAATAATTATATATAAATGATTTATTTCTGAAAATTAAATATTCTTTAAAAACAAGGTTTAGTTTGAAAAGATTTGTCGGATAGCTTTATCCCTTAGTAAGAGTCATTTATTCTTATGTAAAATCTTACGTACATATCTGTTTCTTTCAGACAAGTAACTCTTCTGCTTCTCTTCCCTATATAAAAGAGAAAAAGCACATTATTGACAATGAAAGCAAAGAAAGGAAGGAAGGACACGAAAACGTGTCTAAACGTAATAAATTAGAAGGACGGACGGCGAGAGGGTGGCCGCGGAATTAAACGGCGGGAGAACCACGTGCATCTTGTAAAATGGAGGATGATCTCCCCTACATCATGCAGAGCATCTGCTAAATAGATGACACGCCGGTTGTTATGAGTCTAGTTGTCCTCAGCCTCGCGATGCAGGCGAATCGGGACTAGGATCTATACTTTCTTCGTTTTCTAGTGAAGTTTTTCCACCCCTACCGAATAGAGGAACTTCACGATGAGACGGCAGGCTCTAGAGCTGATCACGGGGCTCCTCGTGGTCCAGCTGCTGCTGCTCTTGCCGGATCAAGTGAACGCCGTGAAGAATCGGTTGAGGAAACAACGATCCAAGCCGCAGCAACATCAAGCTCAGCAAGCTGGCAACGATTATGAATATGATTATTACGGCAACTACGACGAATACGAGGAAAAGAACGGTGAGTGTTCTGTGAGTTCCGAAAAAATTAGACTATGTGACAAATAAAAGAAACAAAAGAGAAAAAGAGAAATTTTTAATTTAACAATACCTTTTTTATTACTTTCTTCCTTATCAGGACGCATACATATATCAGGCAACGTTTAAGAATTTAAAAAAATGATTAATATTAGAATATAAAGAATACGACAAGTCTCGATTCTTGTTTAGTGTGAAAACAAACTTCGATTGACACAATCTGTAGAAAGTTAGTTTATTTCTATAATGAAATTAACACTAAACAAATAAAATTAGAATTGTTTTATAAATAAAACAAAATCTTTCTATTAAGATTAAGTTGAGAGATTAAAGATATTCTTACTTTTCAAAATCTTTTAAAGTTTTGTATCATTTTTTGTGTTGTTTGTCTAATAATGATATTATTGTTCTACTTAATTATCATAATTACAAAGTAATTTTTTCTAGAAATAAGCAAGAATGTAGTTTTAAATGGAGAACAGTTATTCGACAATTGTCTTGAAACTCCGGAAGTCTTGTTGCAGGTCGCAGGTCAATCTCGTTAAGGCGCCATATGAAACAATTAATCTCTTGTTTTAATCAGAGCAATCTAATTAATTTCATTTATTTCAATCTATTAACTGCAAATGCAGTTTAATATGACCCGTAGCTAGAAATGACTTCTGGTTTAGCTTCTACTTCCTCGCGGATGCTAAAGGCGTTATAATACAATGTTCCGATCTTATGGACTTGTGTCAAATTTGCACGATTATTGTTGCAAGAATAAGTTGCGGCTAACGATCATAATCTTTTAGTGTTTTTTCGATTTAGTAACAATATTAAAATTATCTATAGAGACGGCAACAACGGTACCACCATTAGTGTTGCCATCAGCTGTCACGCGACTTTCAGGTAAGCGTGCGAGAGTATTATAATGCAATTCAAATTATTATAATTTTAATAAATTTATAAATTATTATTTCCAATAGTTATTATAGTTAAATCAATTATTATGAGCAATAATACGTAATTATTTAATATAGGATTGTCCGAAACACCGACAGAAACATTCTTGAGACGAGAAACACCTACAGACTTACCGGCTCCCACGACAACTCAATTTTATGATCATGGTATGTGCGTAGTTAATTAAAAAAAAAGATTAATTTTGTAGTGAAAGTGAAAGAGAATAGGTAGATGATTGGAACAAAATTTTTTGTTCGCATTCTCTGAAATCTGATTTTTGACTATTTGCATTCTACGAATTTAGAGAGGACCAGTCCCACATCTGAACGGGATCACTCAGAAAGCACAAACTATTTGGTAATAAAAATAGTTAAGGAAATCGAATTTTGTGGGCAGAGAATAGTGATTGTTAGTGTATTTTCTTCAGGTTTCATCTACTGAAATTTTACCAGGTGAGAGTAACATATATAGTTCCGTGGCTATACCAGGACCACGAGTAAGTAATAGTTTGTAAATTTATAATTATAATAAACAGTTATCTAAAAAATTGTTTGTATAAAAATTTACAAAAGTATATTTACACATTAGGGTGCACCTGGACGACCTGGAGATGTTGGTCGTCCTGGTGATGCGGGATTTCCTGGACAACCAGGTACACCTGGGACTCCCGGATCACCTGGCGCTCCAGGACCTGTACCCGATGTAAGAAAGTTTTATTAATTTAATACTGTTTATTCATTTTTAATATTATTTAAATGGCGATACGCATAAGTCATTTATTATAATAATCTCCCCTAGTAGCACAGCGCATTGGCTAAACATTGGTCCAATGTTGGTCATATTAGAAATGCATTGGCCGATATTGTTCAACGTAAAGCCAATATTGGCCATCGAATAAATGTAAATATTTCACAATAATAATTATTTATAATATTAGATTTATATTAGAAGTGCATTGGCTAATATGTAACAATATAATAAGAATATTGGTCTAATATTACTACAATATTAAACCAATATTACTAAATAGACATATTGGCTAAATAAGAGAAGGGCGTCCATCTTACAATATTGGACCAATATTGAGAATACCAGATTTACATAATTTCCCAATATTGTGTCAATATATTGTGCTACTAGGGTCAATATATATGAGTTACATAATTTATGTAATATTAATATATAATCATTTTAACTTGTAACATATTTATAAATGTCGATTATAATAGGTATCTCTATATTATCGACAATTGGCTTTGTCTCAAGCAAGTGAAGATAAAGGTCCGACAGGTGCAGCGGCGTCATTGTATGGACCAGAGACATTACCTTACATTCAGGCACAAGTAGGCCCGATGGGTCCGCGAGGCCCTCCAGGTAGGCAATATAATACTTGTATAATTTTAATAATTCTTTTGATAATTTTATTTATTCTTATATAATAATCTTTTTTTAATAGCAAGTGTTTTAACAATTTTATCTAATCGATTTAGGTCCGCCTGGTGCTCCTGGTCCTCAAGGTTTTCAAGGTACACGAGGTGAAACCGGTGAATTGGGTTCCTCAGGCCCTCATGGCATGCCAGGTCCTAGGGGTTTACCAGGATTACCTGGAAAGGACGTAAGATTATTTTTAAGTACTTTTATTTATTTAGTTTCTTTGGAATTTTGTGTTTTCCTACATTGATTTATTTAATTTTATTTACAAGTATTTTTTACTGTATTTACATATATGTAAATACATGTATGAAAGTATATTATACATTATATTTAAATGACGTTTTATGTTTTGTTAATGACAGGGTGTCAGTGGAGAAGATGGCGAAACTGGTCCACCGGGATCACCTGGTCCTGTAGGGCCACGTGGTTCTCCAGGGATACCTGGGCTTCCAGGGTTAAAAGGTCATCGTGGCTTTCCAGGTCTGGACGGTGCCAAGGGTGAGCAAGGAGCTCTTGGTGAAAAAGGATCTATGGGTTCGCCTGGGTCGATGGGGCCGGTAGGACCAATGGTACGTAAATGTCACTTTCGGAATTTATATATAATATACAATGTATGTATATATTGTTGCGCCCGCTGGATTGCGATCATCCCGAAGCGCACCACTGTGCGAAGTTGCCGCGGCAAGAAAAAGCTGCGGCCCAATGAGAAATGATTTGTCGATCGATGTCAAAACGATGTCGAATCGACATCGATACCGTCAAATTGACGTCAATACATCGTTTCGACATCGATCGACGAATCATTTCTCACTGGGGGAAGCTTCCCTTGCGGTTTTCCTTGTAAGAGAGGGTATTTCTTTATTTCCTCGCGGCGCGAGTGCGACGAGTGCGCGGGATAGAGAGACGGGCGCGAGCCGGCACAGTGTGCACAACATTCTCCGATGCGCGCCACAATATGTATATGAGATTTAAATAAATTATAAAAATATATGTATAATCATGTAGTAGTACATTTTACTGTTAAAAACATATAAAAGTCATAAAATGCTTTTCTACGCAAATGTTGGTTATCGCTGACGTAGGGTCCAGCAGGACCTCGTGGTGAAAGAGGTAGAGAAGGTCCACCGGGTCCCCCTGGGTTGAGAGGCCTCGATGGAATTGCTGGGCCGCCTGGACAACCCGTAAGCTAATTATTCAAGTTACATACAATTTAGAGATTGATTAAGGCATACTTTAAATATCTTTGAGAAATTCTTTCTAGATGTTGATTCATCTTCATAATGTTTTTGTCTTGTTGATTATGTTAATAAACGTGTATATTAACATTATTTTTAGGGTGCTATCGGTAAACCTGGTTTACCAGGTTTTCCAGGCATTCCTGGAGTTAAAGGTGACCAAGGAGTGCAAGGACCAACAGGAAGTCAGGGTTTGCAAGGTCCGCGAGGTACGACATTTTAATTCTTATTTAAATAATGTTGTTGAGTTTTTAATAAACACTGTTACACTAAGGAGATAGTTGTATTTTTCTTGATTTTAATTAATATTTTATAATAAAGGCGAAAGTGGCCGCCCAGGACAACCTGGTGAAACTGGTCCACAAGGTCCTCAAGGCAAAGATGGAATACCCGGTGAGACGGGTGTCATTGGAGCGATAGGACCCGTTGGTCTGCCCGGTTTTCCAGGTGCTCGAGGTCAACCCGGCACACCGGGCAATTCTGGTGTCCCTGGCGCTAAAGGAGCACCTGTAGGCATACTTAGCATACCATTTAAGAATTATCGAAGTTATTTTTTAGATCATATAAAATCTTGGCGATATTTGTGCAGGGCCTTCCTGGTGAAAGAGGTTTTAAAGGAGATGCTGGAGTGAAAGGTGATGCAGGAATGCCTGGTCCGCGTGGACTTCCGGGACCTCCTGGGACAGAGGGCAAAAGGGGCAAGAGAGGAATGCGTGGACCAATTGGCGCTGCAGGACCGCCTGGAGAACGTGGCGCACTTGGAGCTCGTGGTCTTCCTGGCCAAGATGGTCCTGTCGGGCCTCAAGGTATTGCTTGATATACGTTGTAAAATTTAAGTGTCTATACATATTTAATAATCTTAAATTATAATCATAATTTTTGTATTTTTTATGAATAATAACTTGAATGTTATAAATTGAATTATATTTTGCTATATTCTACTTTTTATAAAAAACGGAATTATAAGTAGAAGAAAAAATTGTTTATATTTTATAATAGTTATTAAAATAATATTTTAATTTATATCTTTGTCCAATGTTACTCATTGTCAGTCCAAATTTTTATTTTTAACTTCAAGCTTTTATTTATGGTAGAATTTAAAAAATTCTCTTAATTTACGACAACATCAGTTACACAACATATTTTACTTTCGTAACATGATAAATACAATAATTACGAGTAATCGAAATTATAAATAATTGTTAGGGCAAACTGGCGATCGTGGTTTTGCGGGACCTGTTGGACCGAAAGGCACCGCTGGAGATCCTGGACGACCTGGACCTGCAGGATTACAGGTATATTACGTAATGTTACGTTAAAAATATTATAATGGATATATAATTATTGAATAAAAATTTCAGGGTGCACGTGGTTTAGTGGGTAGGCCCGGAGCTCCTGGGAAACCAGGCAATCCTGGAGAACGTGGAATTCAAGGTGCGGATGGTAAGCCTGGAGAACAAGGACAATCTGGACTGCAGGGTCTACCAGGACCGTTAGGACCAACAGGGGAGAGAGGCTATCCTGTGATTGATTGTTCATTCCTCTTAATAAAAACATACCAGCTGATACAGTCTAATATAACTTACATACGAAAATATTTTTGTTATATTTTCATAAACAAAACAAAAAGAAAACGTAATGATATGAGTATTAATACAAATATTAACATTGACAAATATTAACACAAATAATATCTTTAATTTTATGATAAGTTTTCAAACTTTTATATTAGGGAGAACGAGGAAAAGATGGTGAGCCAGGCAATCCAGGTCCTCCTGGTCCGAGAGGAGATATCGGTAAAGAAGGAGCTCCAGGAACACAGGGTCCACCAGGTCCACCGGGAAATGATGGCGTGCGAGGTTCTCCGGGATCTATAGGTCCTAGAGGTTTTCAAGTACGTAACATAGAAATCACATTATGTAAAAGAGACTGTATTTCTCATAACGTGAAGGATGAAGCGATGTAATGCAAATAATGTAAATAAATCTTGCACTTTTCACAGGGTCTTCCAGGAGTTGCCGGTAATCCGGGTGTTCCAGGCAAGGACGGAGAAGCAGGAGTACAAGGACGTCCCGGTCCGCCGGGAGTAATCGGCAATAGAGGCGAGCGAGGACTTCCGGGAGAAAGAGGACTCACGGGAGCTCCTGGATCTGTGGGTCCTAGAGGAGAAACCGGGGAATCTGGTGCTGATGGTCTAATTGTATGTTATCATTATTTATTTATCTATTTATCTATATAAGTATGTCATTACATATAAAAGCGTTCAAAGTTACGACAAAATTTTTTATATAATTGAAAATAAAAGTGTTTGCAATATGTTAATTTTTATTCTTTAAAATTAATTTTAATAAAAATAATAAACTTTTAAATTAAACTAGTAAGAATATTCTTAAAGTCGCCAGAAGTAATTAATAAATTAATAACATCAGTGATTTTTGTTGACCGTATTTGGCAATTAAAATTCTTACTCTTTTTAAATTTGAATGTAACTTTCTATTTACAGCAAATTTATGAATTATCTGATTCATTGGCTTTAAACATTTTATACGTATTCGATTATACATAATGTATATTATATATTACTATGAAAAATATGAATTTTATTTATTTATATTCGTATTATATTCTATATATTTTTATATATATTTCAGGGTTTACCAGGACTTAAAGGAGATAAAGGAAGTGTTGGTTCACCGGGATTACTAGGACTTCCTGGTGTGAGAGGATTATCCGGAGAACCTGGACAGAAAGGAGAGAGGGGTACACCTGGACCAATCGGCCCCGAAGGTCCATCAGGTAGTATTTAATGTTACTTATAGTTAAATCAGCATTATTTAAATATATTTGTTGAATATTAACATCTAATACAATATCTTTATTAAAGAATATTAATATTACTTTCATTTAAATATGACAGGACATATTGGAGAGCGTGGTCTACAAGGAGAAGTTGGACCTCCTGGCTCTCCCGGAGAACCAGCTGAACGAGGCGATCCAGGTCCTCCTGGTTCTATTGGAGAGACCGGCGCACCTGGAAATCCAGGAGAGAGAGGACCTCATGGATTACAGGGCTTGCAAGGTTTTCCAGGTCCACAAGGATTAATTGGACTTCCTGGTCTGAAAGGCGATCGCGGTTATCCGGGTTTAAAAGGAGAACAAGGAAATCTGGGACTTCCTGGTAATAAACAAGTAATTCTAAATTGATATAATTAATAATTATATCAAATAATTACTAAATAACTAATAAATATTTTAATAATACTTTCAATAAATTGTTTATGAAATATTTTATGTTATTATATATAAATATAATTATATTACTCATTATTTATTACAACATATATATATAATTAGTTATTTAGTTATTATTTAGTTATTATTTATATACTGTACATACATATACATGTCATATTTAATATATTACGTACTGATATTTGCATAATAGTACGTAATGAAATTATTTTTATATGTACACAAAATATATAAATTATTGTACCTTGATTAACAGGCAGTCGCGGCGAAGCCGGATTACCTGGACCAATTGGACTTACCGGTGCTAAGGGAATTAGAGGTGAATCTGGTGCACGAGGTGAACCTGGTTTAATGGGGCCACCTGGTATCACGGGACATGTTGGACCATCAGTAAGTCATTAAACTCCCGAGTCATATTAAAGTTTTATAAACTGATGGGACGAGTATATTCTGTAAGATAAATAAAACATTGAACGGGCTAAAGAATGAAGTGTTGAACTAAAAATGTTATAGGGACCCCCAGGAAATGTGGGACCATCTGGTGCTCCTGGATTGCCCGGTATTAAAGGCGACACTGGCGATATTGGACGTCCGGGAAATCCAGGTCCGATGGGTAACCCTGGTCCACCTGGAATAGATGGAATTAAAGGCGAAAGCGGATCCTCAGGTCCTCAGGGGCCGATGGGTTCTCAAGGACCACAAGGTTCGCCTGGCGAGAGAGGAACACCAGGTTTACCTGGTTCTGCTGGTCCTATAGGAAACAGAGGATTACGCGGAGCTCCCGTAAGTAAAAATATATACTTAAACAAGTTTCTCTGTATTTAATTACTTATATTTTTATTATATGTCTTTATTATACTATTATATATATATAAATTTGTAGCATTTATACATATAATATATGACATAAATATAATTATCATGTAGTACAAGTTGTTTATTAAATACTTTGATAAAAAATAATTTATCTTTATTGCAGGGTGAAACGGGGCAACCTGGAAAACCAGGAACGGAAGGTCCAGCCGGACCTCCCGGGTTGATAGGCCCTCCAGGTCTTCCTGGACATATAGGAGAAGCAGGGCCGGAAGGACCAATTGGAAAACCAGGACCCCCAGGTATAGGAGGTCGACCAGGTGATAAAGGACCGCCTGGAGTACCTGGTGCTACAGGGTCGTCAGGACCTCCTGGAATACCAGTGTGTTATGATTTTTACTCTCTCTTTTATTTCTTATATAGTATATATAATAAATATAATAAAGTACCAGCATATCAGTAATAATTTATTTCTTTTAATAGGGACCACTTGGACCTACTGGACCTACCGGACTTACTGGAGAACGTGGCTTGAAAGGTGAAACAGGACCGCAAGGTGTGGAAGGTCCACAGGTAATATACTTTCAATTAAATTAATGTATCTTTAATCATTTGATTAATTAATTAAAAATAAATTTTTAAATATTTCTTTAAATTAATTCTAAACCAACGTTCAAGAAAAATTAAATCTCTTCTAAGTATAAATAACTTACATGTAAATTTAATCCTGTACACATCTATAACATTTTAGGGACCACGAGGGAAACCTGGCCCTACAGGTCTTGAAGGTACGAAAGGGGATCGTGGAGAAGATGGGCAGAAAGGGGCCAAGGGACATCGAGGATTTACTGGTTTACAAGGTTTACCTGGGTCTCCTGGTTTAGTAGGAGAAAAAGGTATACCTGGTTTGGCAGGATCTCCTGGTAAAGACGGAGAGCCAGGTATTAGAGGTAATCCTGGACGGGAGGGCAATCCAGGACCTATCGGACCTGGAGGTAATCCCGGACCCAGAGGTCCACCTGGGGAAGAAGGTCGACATGGACTAACGGGTCCTGCAGGACCACCTGGACCTCCTGGTCCTCCTGGAGAAGTAGGTTTCGGTTACGATGCTGCATCTCTAGCAGCGCTTCTAGGTATGTTTCAATTGACTCAAATAATGGTATGTTTTTCTAGAGGTGATCTAATTAATTAGCAAATATTACATAATATTAAACATGTCTAAAGTTATCACAACATCGGAATCAAATGTTCTTTTAGATTTACTTAGATTTTTCTGTTATTTAATTTCTTTTCAATGTAATAAAAATAATCAAATTAAAAACTATTTAATAAATTATCGATTATTATAAAGTTGAAAAAATTGTTTATTATAGGGCAAGGCCAAACTAAAGGACCAGATCCACTTGGTGATGAACCGCCAAGAATGTTTGGTAAAGATATCACCGAAAAAGAACGAAGAGAATTACTTTTGAAGGCTTACGAGAATCTAAAATCGTCGTTCCAAAAATTAGTGAAGCCAGATGGTGAAAAGAATTCGCCTGCTAAAACCTGTCGAGATCTATTTATTGCTTACCCGGACAAATTATCTGGTGAATCTTAAGAAACTTCTATACTCTCAGTTCATTTTAATTTTTGAATTTTGTGTCCTAGAAATTAAAAATGTAAAATATGTAAAATAATATAAAAGAGTATTAGATATGTATATGACAATTTATTAAATTTCTCAGGAAAAATTCAAGTTAAAGAAAATTTTAATTAAAATCGCAAATATTAAAAGCACAGATTAAGAGTGATAAAAGTATAGTACTAATACACTTCGTATTTTAATATTAAAATTAATATAAACGTGTGCATCATTAACAGGCGAGTACTGGATTGATCCAAACGAAGGAGATGTTCGAGACGCGATCTTGGTGTATTGCGATGCTGAGAAGCGTGCAACTTGTATTCTACCGAATCCATCGCGTTTACCAGAAATCACTCACATCACTGATCAACAGGAGACCTGGCTAAGCGAGATAGATAGCGGCATGAAGGTTGCATTATATTCTATGTACTCTAATTCTGGGTTTTAATTGTTGCAACAAAAAATATAACACTTTACTAGATAAATGTTTATAAAATAAATTTAATTATTTTAGATTACATACAAGGCAGACAGTAATCAAATCGGTTTCTTGCAATTGCTCTCGAAACACGCGAATCAGAACATCACGTATTATTGCAAAAATAGTGTGGCCTACTTCGATTACGAGAAAAAGACATACAGAAAGGGTTTGAAGTTTTTGGCTTGGAATGACATTGAATTGACACCACGAGGCAATCAGCGTCTTAGATATGAGATGATAATGGATGAATGCAGGGTAAGCCAATTCTCAAATATAATATAATATAGTTTTAACATTGCAATTTTATTTCAATTTAATCATTCTATTTTTACCTTGAAAACAGAAAATCTAAAAATATCATTAAAAAAAATATTTTTTTATTTTATATTTTAATAATTTTCTAATTTCATAAATAAGTAAAGTTACTTATTATTTTGTTAAATTCGACTCAAGTCATATTAGAATACAGACACTTGTTTAAACTTCAGTAGAGCCTGATCTACAATGTGCTCTTTGCATCTAGAAACATTGTATTTTGTAGCCAATAGATACGTTCTAAAATTTATTCGTATATTTGCAGGTCCATCAAAATCATTGGGGTAAAACTGTTATTTCATACGAAACGGACAAACCTGTGAGACTTCCTATCTTAGACGTGGCTTTGCGAGATATCGGAAAAGCCGAACAGAGCTTTTCCATAGAGATTGGTGCAGCTTGTTACGATTAAGACAAAATACGACCTTGCGACTGTTATCTCATGCCTAGAACACCGTCACGTTTCATTGTATAATCTTGAGAAAACAATTTTCTTCTAATTTTACGAAAATGACGGTATGTCAATTTTATCTCAAGTGGCAGTTAAACATCACTTAATTTAATCCATAATGGTTCTGTGTCGCTATTTTACTCAAATTCTCAAGAGTAATAAAAACTATTTAGGGATATTTAATAAAATTTTCTCTTAAGTTAATTACAGAATCTCTTCTTCCTAGGACGAATGCAAAGTTAAATTTAACAAAGATACGAAAGACATATATCACTCGGATATTTTATATATTATATAATATATATATTAATTTTTAAAAAATTCTCAGAGTACTTAAACGTTACTCAATCAAGTATTAGATGCCTAACTACTGACGTATAAAAGCATTTGCGCTACAACTGGATTTAGTTTATTTAATGCGCACAGTGCCAAAGTATTTTTGTGTACATAATAATAAATAAAAGTTTCATTTATGCCATTTTTACTCCGTGCAGCTATTTAGGAAAAATAAAATTGTGCACAATCAAAGTTACGCCTGTACAGTATTTCGTTAATAGCCCTCCGCGTCGAGATCTCTTGTAGTGCTCAATGTCTTTCGCTAACTTATAATGTTTTATTTCTTCCCGCGACGTATTAATATCTCTTAATGGATCCTAATTCCAGTATATTTCCTTTAATTAGACAGAGCGAAGTTCTTCATAGTAAATTATCTCTTCTCTCGTTCCCCTTCGCCTTTGTATATAAACTATGAATGTTGCCTCAGCAACGTAAAAAGGAGCGCGCCGAAAAGAACGTATTCACTTTAACTAAAGGCCCATTAAAAGAAATATGCGGGAACTACATTATCTGCTGAATAAGTTCCATTTAATCATGGATTCCATCCTATAGCTACTGTTGACGCATGCGTGGATGGAACTTTCCTCGTCACATCAAACACGCCGACCAGTGCTGTATCAAAACTATGTGACACCCGGCGTGAGAACGAAATCTGCACTACGCGTATACAAAATTTACGTTCGCAGTTATGTTCCCAAATTGATATTCCGTCAAGGAAAAATGAAAAGTCAGGATGACGTCAATTTGATGTCACATCGACCATTTTCCTTGGTTCCTTTGTTTAAAGCGATATCAACGGTAAAAAGCGGTAAAAACATTTCCAAAATATATTTATTATTCAATCTTAACTACATATTATAAATTTATTATACATTTCTTTTCCAACGCTGTTAACATACATCGTTAAAAGTATCACGTTAATTATAGAAAACACACTCGGTGCTTCTTTTTGCTTGTATTAAACGCCACAATTGTACACAAGTATCGTGCAACGATTACTGCATCAATTATGTAAGACTTACAATTTACACCACAACGATACTGCAATACATTTATACTATAATTTTTTACAAAAGAAATTCACAACGTCATCGACTACGTGTATTTCGACGCCTGGGTAGGAGGCATGTAAGTTTCCGCGTGAAAAAATTGCACGTCCACCATTACGACCCATGAAATTATTACATTCGCGCGAAACTTCTCGTTTTATTTATATATGCTTCCACTCTAGGAGCAAAGATACACTATCGCTACCCTGATCCAACCGATGCCATCCTCCGGCCACTCGTCCGCGAACGCGATGGCGAAGGGCGGACGGGGAGAGCGACCACGGCGATGCCGCGCGGTGCCGCGCGGCAGGGCCTTTACTCCCGTCAATTCAGTCGTACTCCAACGGCGCTCGCGCTACGGGTGCTCGTGTCGTTGATTGTGCACAGTGTGGAACTACTCGCGTTCGAGGAGCGTCCCACGTTCCCGGGAGAGACGCGAGTCCGCGAGGGTCATAGCTGCGTTAGCGGCGCGCTCGCACGCGGTCGACTCGACGGTAACACCCAGGTAACAACGGGTCGCAAAATACACGTGGCAGTGTGGCTCCTCTCGCTCTCGACCGCGCTCCGGCCCGCCGGACGGCCGCGCCGTGCCTTCCTGCGTTTTATCGATCCCCGGTGGAGCCCCCATTTTTTCGCGCGCGATCCTTCCCACGGCGAGCACGGGGTAAAAACCGGCCGCCTGAAAAGGCGTCCGCGCCATATACGAGTCCTGCCCTCCGGGTCGCCACCGACCCGAAGAGTGGAAGGCCTCCTGCCGCTCATTACCGCGGCGTCGGCGGCTCGTTGCGTTTAATCGTTATTGCCCCCGGCGACGAAGGAGCTATTCGGAGCGGCGGCTGTTAGGGCGATATTGGATCGACGTTTCGAAAGAGTTTCGCCGGGGGACCGTTGAATTTTCATGAAAATGTGTGGCGCCGCGTGTAATATCCCGGAAGCCTTAAATTTGTAACAAATATGCGTAATTTGATTGTGACAAACAGATTTTTGTGGTCTTACATCGTGAGACAGTTTGCGCGCTTTTTTTTTTCTTTTGTCGCTACTCTTACTACCGGGTAGGCATTGGAGCAGCTACTTGGTGCTTCACCTTTCCGCGTTATTCTATAATATCGTATCACGAAGAATTAAATTGAATTAAATTAATTTAAATCCCACGGTCCGCCACGATTATAAATGGATCCGATCTGCAATTATTAATTGAATAGGAAAGGCTTTGTGATCGATATAATTGCGACAATTAGGATCGCGGTAAAGTTGAATTCGCGTTTGCGAAGGAAACGCGTAGCCGAGAAGAGCGATGGTATTTTTTTTCCCCCCTTCGGCGCGACTTCGGCGATAAATCGAACTGTCGTTTGGCGACGTGACATTTATGTTTACCCGCTGACACATTGGCGAATACGGCTTTTCATTGTGAGTCGACGTTCGCGCGGGTGACAACGTGTGTTTTCTCACCGACGCAAAATTAGACGCGGCAACTCTGCCAAATTCAGGCGTACGCGTGTACGCCGCGGAAAAGGTGTGACTTATCAATCCGTTTTGTCAGACTACCCACGAATACCGTGACGTGGGGAAATGCGCGTCGAGCGCGTCGTAAATTTATCTTACGTATAATTAGTCGCCTTCGTCCACGTGACGTAACGGAGGACGAGCCACCGTACGATAAGTACAAATTATCAGATAATTTCAGCGCGAACATATGAGTTTTCGATAGACGAGACCTTGAAAAACGAAAAAGAAGGAAAACTAGAAAGTGTATTATTTCGCGAACAAAAGCGCCGAGCGACTCGAAGGTTAACGTAATGATATTGTTATCGAATTTTACGTAAAACGAATTGCGAGCGTTACGGTGTTACACGTTGTTTTTACACGGAGAGAATTTTCTTCAACAATTTGTCCTGAAAATATTGTAATCGTGGGACGACACGGCATTTCAAAGAATTTTATGAGAGTTCTGTGAAATTTTACCATACATTTCACTAGTAATTATACTTACAATTAGTACACATTTTCTTAGTAAAATGTATTGTAAAATTTCGAAAAACTCTTATAAAGTTCTTCAAGATGCCGTGTTCTACGATTACATAATTTTCAGTGCAAAGTCCAAGAGAAAATTCTCTCCGCGTACGAGCATTGATAAATTAATTAAAGGGCAAAATTTCGTCTAATAAAACCGAACCGTGAAACTTCGCTGGTAAAAGAAGGTCGCGAATTTATCAATATTGAATTTCACCGTTTCGTGTTTCTTCCATAATTTCGTGGCTGATTGTTGTTATCACGTGAGCAAACGTACGATCAATGACGTAATGTTTTCCCGCAATTGTACGCTTATTGCGTGAATTACATAAGGTCGCGAATAATTGCTTTTCGCGGAAGCTCGAAATAGCCCATTTGAAATGTCTAACACGACTCTGACGACAGCCTGAACATTATTACAAATTGCGCGATTGCAGAGTTATCTGTTATCGCTTAGCTTTTCTTACCGATAGAATCTTTCCGATTGAAATAATCCTCGTTTTGCAAAAATACACCGCAGACAGCTGTGTGAACGAGTGTCATAATACGTGTCAGCGAGTTGTGTGATTAATTTTATCGACCGTCCGTAGATACGCAATCGAAGTGATTCACACACTCACAAGTCGAACAATGTGTTTGCGAGCGCGAAATCTGCACCCGGAAGTGCCCTGTTAAGACAATTTGGAATAAAGTGCTCTCTCATTGGTAATAGAAATACCAGACGCAGGGACGTTTCCATAGGAAGGAACGTTCGATTTATTAGTTTGCAAATTGAAGGGTTTGCAGATAATTATCTATGGTTTTCAGGGAGCTGGGAAGAACGAATTTGAATTTCATTTTTACAATTTAAAGTCACGCGCTTTCTTTTTCTCGAGCTTATAAAATTTTTCAATTAACTTTACATCCTTCGTGGTACCAAAGTTTACTTGCTGTGCGAAGGATTGGCGACGAAAGAAGAATTTCTACTTACCAATTTATTCTTAAAAAATGTTATAAATTTACCCACGTGCGCGCAGACTGAATTGTCTAAAAGATTTGGAAAATTAATGATTAAATCACACAAATGACCGCGACGAACGTATGTAATTATTACGCGCCACATTACGCAATGTTAACGTAAGTGATATGAAAAAGTCCGACTTTCGAGCTACAATGGACCATTCCAAATGATTATTTTAATTTATAATTATATAATAATTGAAGTTGACAAAATACGACATTGTTTTATACACATTATAGTTACCCGCTCTAACGACTAGTCATGTAATAAAGCACTTCTTATGATGGCTGTTTACACGTCTGTAATTAAATACGAGGGTTCATATACCCGTATGACATTGCAGCGTCAAGTAGATAACACTTGGTTTCATATTTTTTTTTTCTTATCTCGTGTCCGATGCGCGATTAGCAAACAAAGGATTAAAAGTAACTTAAAGAGATCCAGCGTTGAAAGCGCAGTGTCAATGAGGAGAAAGCCCTAGATAAATGCCTCGGGAGTATTGCACTCGAGGCGCAGGTCGGTCGTTGAACGTTAAAATCTGGCAGACTTATCGTACTTTTTCATATCGCTTACGTTAATATTGCATAACATGACACGTAATAATTACATCCGGCGCGGTCGTTTTCGTGATTTACTCGTTAAGTTTTTTAAATATTTTCCAAGTCTTTTTTAGGCAAATCAGTTCGCGCACACGTGGGTTAACTGTAACATAATTTTTTTTTAAATAAATCGGTAAGTAGAAATTTAACGATCCGGTCTTCGCTAAACTTAATAAGAAGTTTACGACATTACTGAAAATGTCGATTAATCTTTTCACTGTGAAATAATAAAGATTAAATGAGGAATGAAGATGCAAATAGGGCAAGGAAGAAAATAGGAAGATCGGAGTGTTCGAGATAACTTTTTGTTTCTATATTTTTTTACAATAATTAATGTGGACACGGTAATAGTTTCAAACGTTTGCTAGTTTACCAATTAACGTATCCTTTCCGAATTTCTCAACGTACAGCTAATTAGATAACTTTGTTAGTAACTCGCAGTTTCTCAAAAGATACAATCGACTCTCACATATACACTGAGAAAAATTTCCATCGGATAAACAAATTAAATAGTATTTCCCGTGGTTAATTTTTCCGATTAACCCTTCCGATTAAATTGTCTATATATCCGATGAAATTTGACCGAAAAACCGATCATATTCTTCATCGGATATATCCGATTGTTGTTATGTATTGGATTATCCGATTATATTTCATCGGATATTTTTCTCAGTGCAGATTTATCAAGTGCGCATATAGCATTACGCAAGTTTGAGCAATTCTAATGTTATGACTGATGAAATATGTATAAGGACAAGCATGTACAATAGACGTCAATACAGCGACTTTAAATCCAATAAGCAATTTACGACATTACTGAAAATGTCGATTATTCTTTTTACTGTGAAATAATAAAGATTAAATGAGGAATGAAGATACACGAGAAAAAGAAATTATGTATCAACAAGATCAGTGTAATTGAAATAAAATCGTTGAAACAACTGATCAGTATTAATGAATAAAAAACATCAGACAGTTATCTTAATAATCCGGATATTTAGTTGAATACTTTAAATTAAAATCCATAGCAAATACAATTGCGTGAATTATTTATGTTTGTGGCAGTCCGTGACGTTTAATTCAATCAACTTAATTCTTTTTAATTCAGCAGCAATGTTTTTTCTGTGTACAAATAGGGCCAGGAAGAAAATAGGAAACTTAATAAAATAAACAAACGAGAGCGCCTTTAGGTCCAAGCAAGCTGTATTGGTAGCCCAATAATTGTAATCGAAAATATGAATTCGCATTTTAGATAAAGTGGTAAATTATATATCGCCAGTAATTTAAAACCAATTTTCATAAGATTCAATGACCTACACTGGCTAGTGTTTTTATTAAAAAACCAATTACAACGTTTCGGCCCCGGACTTGGGCCCTTTTCAAGTGTTCTTAGTGATAATTACTGCGTCATTATTCAATCATTTGGTCAATACCATTCCACTGTGACGAAATATTGGTCAAGTTAATTTCCAATTCTTTGTTAGAAGAAAGGTGAGTTCGTTTAAAGTACCACATGTTCGCACAATCATGTCCGGATCAGAACTGTTCCGGATCAAACCAGTTCTGATCCGGACATGATTGTGCGAACATGTGGTATTTTAAACGAACTCATCTTTCTTCTAACAAAGAATTGGAAATTAACTTGACCAATATTTCGTCACAGTGGAATGGTATTGGCCAAATGATTGAATAATGACGCAGTGATTATCACTAAGAACACTTGAAAAGGGTCCAAATCCGGGGCCGAAACGTTGTAATTGGTTTTTTAAATAAAAACACTAGCCAGTGTAGGTCGTTGAATCTTATGAAAATTTGCATTTTAGATTACAATTGACTAACATCTTGCTTGGACCTAAAGACGCTCTCGTTTGTTTGATTTATATCACACTAGTCCCATTTAACTCTATTTGTTAATAAAATAAGGATACTTAAAATTAATTAGAATAAAAAAATAGCTAGGGAGAGACTGTTCTACTACGTTTTTCAATTATTCTCGCTCTTCATCTTTCTAACACGATGCCTAGATTTATCAATATACAGTTTTATTAACTTTGCGACTTTGACTCTCGTGGATCGATTCGTTCCGACCCCTCGACTGGAGCATTGACGACATCTTGCGTAACTGAATTACACGGGTATTTCAGAGATTTATCTCTCTTCCGCTAAGTGGATAAATTTCTTAAGGTCTGTATCCACGATGCTAGAACTTGGTCCAAGTTCCGAGAAATGGGTAATCAACGTGCGGCTATTCCATAAAAGCTGCGAGTCGATTGGCTACACATTTCTCGAAATTAGAACTTGGACCAAGTACCCAGCATCGTGGACACAGGCCTTAAAGAGCATAATACGAGCAAATTTGCTCTATACTTCATATTCCTAGAAGAAAATAAACGGAAACATCTGAAACGTAGAAGAGAATTAATTTACTGGACGCAAACGCGAGAATGGAAAGATCAATTTCCCAAAATATTTTCGTTCAAACAGATTTCTCGTCAGAGTACAATCTTCATCTGTCATCGGGAAATTGACGGCGAAACTCCACGTGGATTTCTCAGGCTCCTCGGGCGCGTGCCTGCTCCAGTTTAGAGTTCGCGCTGTCACTCTTCCTTGGTCCAACACGTGGTCACGCGACGCAACATTGCGCAAGCCCGGACTACTCCGATATCGCGATTTAAATATAGAAATCGCCGGTCGGCGTACGTGCCGCGAGCGTAACAGCGGATGCCGCGTGTTCTTTTTGCAGGCATCCTCGTGACCGAGGTATCCCCGGAGGACGTCGACGCGCGTCAAACGCGTAGGTGGCAAAGGTGGAGGAGCGTCCATCGCGACTTGGAGGCTCGCGGGCACGCGACATGACGCAACGCGGCCGCCAGCGAATCGATTGAACGCCGAAAAGCGGGAAAGCGAAACCGGCCTCAGTCGCGAAGTCGACCGCCGATCGATGAGAATCCGAGCCTGACTGCGCTGAGGAAAACGAACGTGCGAATCTACTTTCCTCTCCGCCGGCACCGCGCGCACAGCATCTCGTTCTCACACTGATAACGCACTTGCGATAACGTACGTTCGCGGCGAGCAGCGAAAATGGCCCTCTTCCGGAAGTTCAACGGTAAGTACTGGTCAATTGATGGATCATTAACTGCATGTGACGAGCCGATCTACCGATTTGGTCTATTCATTGGACTATTCATTTTTGTTGCTTTATACTACGAATAGGTTTTCAATTTCTACCTTCATTAGTTTGTTTCATCGTTAAGACGTTTCGAAGAAACATATTGTTTCAGTATTTATTAGATGATGTACTGGTATCGTAAGCACCATGTGCTATAAATGCAAATGTACCTTCGACTAATAAAGTCGTAATCTTACTTTCATACATAAATCATTTTTGCGTGTCTAAAAATATCAAGATATGAATCTATAATTGGAATTTAAACTATACCGGTTTCAATTTTTCGCTAACAAATGTCAGTGCTCGATATCTTCGCCAATATATATTGGCTAGTATCCCTCGGAGTTCAGTAAACAAATTCCGAAGTCGCATATATACTTTCGCGCAGTCAAATATAGAATATATAGATCTGACTTGGTCACAAAAAATGCCATTGCACACGTTGAAAAACAAAACAAAAAGAACTACAATTTCCTCGAAACTTCTTTAATATGAAAGATGCCTGTTTCTTATTTGTACCAATATTTCCTAAGAGAAAGACTTTATCTCCTTCACCACATTATTTCTCGGATGAGAGATGTTATGAAGTAATTTCCGTACATGTCGCGCAATTAGCGATGTGTGCAGATTTGAATTACTCTATTACAGTTACAAAACTTCCTAAGTGATAAGCATCATTGAAAATGATAAGCATTATATAACCGCACTTGCGTGCGCGCACTTTTATGCATAAATCTCAGGGATTGATAGCCAACGCGCTATATCGAACGATCAACGCACGACTTCGCGACGTGTCATTCCGATCCGGACGGAAATTTAAATTAGCAAACATCGCGCGTCGCATTATGCGAACGCGTACGCCGCGTCACCGTGCAATGCATTGGTATTTTTCCGAAGCTTCATCCAAGCGCTTCCGAGTCTTCAATTTCATTCAAACTGTTTGTAACTCGAGCCGCTATTTTGTGCCGTTCACTTTGCAGAAATAGACCTATGGAATAGGCAGGTTACTCGTCCACGGTCATCCAACGCTGGCACATTTTCTGTTCTTAAAAAAAATGTATATATATAATACGAACCAATATTTATAGTACGCACGATTTATCGAAGTTGGTCGATATGCACAAAGTGCGCCAGAAACGTCAACCTAGATATTGAACGATGATTTTCTCTTTGAAATATTGTAAGTCAGATAATATAACGAATTTGGAAAGAGTCAATTTCTTAATTTAGGTTTTATGAAATTTTAACGAAAACTATCATTTATAATTTTTTATTTGTTAAGATTTAAATTCTTTTAATTGAATTAAAATTTTTTAATTTGTATTCTGTTTTCACTTTTAGCAGTTTCTTTTCTAGTTTTTCCACCTTTTAATATTACAAATTTCGACAATGCAATCTTTAATTAAGATTATTATAAAATTTCATTTTGAAGCTATAAGCTAACGTAAGAAAGAGTTTCGTTTTCTATGTAAAACACTTAAAATTTAGTTCGACAGATTTCTTATTAATAAAATAATTGCAACGGTAGATCTTGGACACACTATATACTTACGGCTCTATAGGATGTTAATGAGGTGAATGACTTGCGTTGAGCGCGTAGAAAATTACCTGGAAGACTATATCGTAAATGTGATCTTGCTGTCTAAATATATTTTATATGAGATCTCTGTGTGAATGAATGAGCGAGAGAGAGAGA